CCATCCCACCCCCCCCCCCCCCCCGCCCCCCCCCCCCCCCCCCGGCCCGCGGCCGCCCCCCCCCCCCCCCCCCCCCCCCCCCCCCCCCCCCCCCCCGCTCGTGTATGAAAAGGTGTTATTGGGAGATATCTGTAAGATTCCTACGCGGATCCCTGCTAGGTTACCGCAAGTGTGATGGACCTAATAATGTATATACATACTTAGTTCATAGAACCTCGCTCTATTACTACTACCCAATGTGACGTCTTAAGGTAGAACCCGGCAGCCCCCCTTTTCACCAATGGCCATAAGTCTATGTGGGTGGTATGGGTTGCTGTAACCTGATTTCTCGTATGCATATTTTCCCATGGGCATGGGTATCCTTGTGGATGTAGGGAGTATGACGACGTTAATCTAGCGGTAAGGGTAATAGCTACGATTTGATATAAGTCAGTAGATATCAGGTGCTCAACTTTGAGGACCTGTACTTCCACTTTGCGGGTCAGGTGTCAGCGCAATGCATCCTACGGGGGTTCGACTGAGTAAACCTGATACGGCCGAATACACCCTACGAAAGATCGTATTTTTTTTGTACAATATGCATCTTCCTCCTGTCCGAGGTACCTAACTCTCGACATGACTGGTGGGGGTCTCCAACAGCGCCTAAAACACGATCGAAATGTAGTACTATTCCATGATGGTTAGGATCACGCTATATGTCGTGCATAATAATATTACAAGGGTAGTCTCAGTATTCACGAGCCGCAATCTACCATGTTCACAAGGCTCCCTCCAGATATCCCAAGTTGCCAGCTTCGTTGCCTTTCACCATACATTCAGACTCCAGGCGAGAAAAACCCCCATCTTTTGCTGTGTAATGTGATACTCTCCTATATAGATGAGAAGCTTAATATTGTGAGATTAGGAGACGCCTTACAACTTCAAAATGAATCTAAGAGCTCCACCGATAATCACCAATTCTCATATGTGTAGATTCTTATAGAAACATGACGTTGAAAAAATTGAATTAATGAGGCTACAACTCCAACAGATAATCCCGTCACACCATATCTACGTTGTTAAGAAAAGCCGAGAGGCTATTCTCTTATTTAGGTAGCTAGAAAAATTAAGAGATATGAATCTTGTTGTGAGGTAGAAGAATGGTTTATGCTAGTGCTTTATTCTCAAATTACAGCTATTATCTAAATCAAATGGACATCGACCACAGTCCACTGTTCCCGAACCAGCCGGGAAGCCCAATTCTCAGCAACCGCATATATTCGGTATCATCAAGGAGCGTGAGATATCTCATTTTCCGAGCAGGGTCGTTGGCAAATTCTTGCTACTTGAGTCTTTCCAGCTCTTTTTTGAAAGTCTCCTTGCGCGTTATGAACAGATCCTCGATCCCTTTCGTAATCGTCTCCACCATATCGTTAACCTTGAGATTTACTAAGTTTGATATTTCCTGGCTGTCTTCAAGGTGACGAACACTCCCCTTATACCTAAGCGACTGCGACCTTTCTTTATCAGCACTATCATCACTATCATCATAATGTCTCTTCCGAATGATCTGGTTATTCCCGTGGGCCTTTTGTGGAAGCGGGTATTCGAGTAAATACGATTTGTGTTTTCCCGAGTCGTAGTCGTCCATAGCCCACGGGGGAACAGTTTTTGACTCGACTAAGAACGCATCAATCCTTTTGTCGGCCTCTCGCTGTCCTATCCAGCCGCGCAAGGTCGATCGAGTCATGATACGACCACCCGGAATATTGAGTATCTTCACTCTAACGTAAGTCCAGCACGTTCGCTCATAATTTCCTGTCCCTGGTAGGAATGAAACGCCTATGACCCGGACAAGCCTAGACCGCAATAACCTACGGTACTCGCTCTCCTGATCATTAATATTGCTAGCCTTTCCCGAATCGTGATACTTCTTAGTTTCCTCGGGATCGACCTCATTAGCCATCTTAACTTCGAGCTTATTAAGTCCTTCGACATCAAAGAAGTATTTTGTTCCACTATACCCCATCCCGCCGTTGTACCCCACCCCGCCAGTATCAGGTCGGACGCTGGATGCATGGGCCAAAATCCCGAGCAGACGTCTTTCGTCGTGCCCGTAAGCATCTGGCATATCCGTGTCACTAGTTTTATTAGTTCCAGAAGCCCGGTTAATAGGCTTTTCTCGTGCCGAATTTCCTTGCATGGGTTTGGTTCGGGTTTGTTCCTTAGGCAGATTCAGTTTAATAAGCCGCTTTCGCAAAGGTCTGATAAGAAGCTTCGTCCATTCAGCGGGCCACTGGTGATAGCTATGCAGCCGTTCCTCCTCAAAGTTATTCTGCAGTTTCTGTAGAGCCCGCTGTACCTCTTCGGGTTTCAATCTCCTCGCCTCCCACCAGGTTATGATATCCCGTCCCATGAAATGATACTTTTGAATCGATGTATCGGGCACCATGAATAGCTTGGGGATATCTATCCTCCTTTTCAGATTCTGCTCCTCGATTAACATATTATATCCTTTCAATTTCTCCTTTAGTCCTTTCGTGTCAGGTTTGTCGTCCAACCTTTTGAAAAATGGCTTGAGAACTGACTGGCCCATCTCCAAATATATTTTCATTACTCCTTCCGACACCATTGGAGCCTCATTTTTGCTGTCCGTTTCGCTGTCCGACTCGCTGTCCGATTCGCTATCCGATTCAGTATCGGTAGAATCATTGCCATCATCATCGAAAGCTCCGTTGGCAAATTCTTCATCGAAAAGATCTTCTTCATCGACACGAGGGGCCTTATACTGACTAGGTAAACTTTCGTCATACTCGGCTCGCTTCTCTTTGGAGCAGAGGACATCAACCACATTGTTAATGGCTTAGCATTGTTTAGCTTGAATCCTAATTAGACGAGATCCAGAACGCACCTTTAGTACAACGAAGCGCTGATTTATCTTTGTTGCGGTCCGGATGAAGCATGAAAACAAAATTCTTTCTAGCTTTCCTGATCTCAGCTGTTGTAGCCCTCTTGTCTACCCCAAGTAGATCATAATATGTAGCATCATTCTTTTTCAATAATTTCAATAATTTCACTACGCGATTCACCTCCTCACGCTCCTTCAAACGCCGCTCAAGTACCTTGGCCTTTTTCTTCTCGTTCTCGAAGGCCCTAATAATTTCCTGTCCAACGAAATTCATAATAGCATCCTTATGAGAGTTGATATATTCCTTGGCCCATTCTTTGTCTTTCTTTTCAACTCTATGTTTGATGGACTTAAGCACGTGGTTCCATTCATCAGGCGAGTGTTTTATCTTATTTACTCGTGATTGGACTTCGCTCAAGGAAAGCTCTTCAAACTCCAATCTCGTTGAGTCAGCTTTAAGTTTTGCTGTCTGCTGCACGATCAAAAGTAGATTTTTGTCGCAGTCGGCGAGGGTCTCCTCGGTCGTGTTTTGATCTCCATCAGGTTCATCAATTGTCATGGGCTGGTTAGAATCCCCCTCTTCGGAACTAATAGAAGAATATATGCCTTTGGACTGAGACTCCGGAGCACTTGAGTCATTTAGTTGAAGCGCCATTTTGGAAGTCATAAGTGAGATAATGGGAGTTAGCAACGAGACCGGTGGTATTACTCCCATCTTAAGAACATTTATAATGTTTGGTTTCTAAGAATGTTGCATTATTGACCGGGTTGTAGTACAGAAACGAACAGCGTCCACTTACGGCGTTCCTAGGGACGAAAGTGGAATCAAGAGTCTTTTGACGCCTTTTGCCAGTTGTATCCTGTTTCAGATGCTGGGAAGCTAATAACATCCTTCCCTTAATCAAGATTTACCCTTCCGTTGCATACGAAAACGTTAACCCTAACACAAGATATAGTAATGAGTTGCCATGCTTTAATTTTGGTCAGCAGCATTTCCACCACTAGTCAAACTACACGCTGATGGTTGAAGGGGCGGCACACGGCCATCACTAGCAGGGAAAGTATGAAACTTAGCTAAACTCGTGAATCAGTAGTCATATGTAATAGACTTTTTCCGACTTGTATATTTGAATCTTTGTAAAAATCTCTTCCAATGTCTCTGTGTGCATAAATGACTTATAAATGAGATTGTCGCAATGATTAGCAGTTACAGAGTCTTACGCTAAACATACATAAATAAAAAATAGATACCGTTGGGTCTATGAGGCGTTGTTAATTGACAATGGCCATAGCACTGGCCATTTCAGGTACAAACACTTATAGGGAAGTTTGTGTGTGTTATCATGTACCTGAAATAGAAAATCCAGGTATTGTTACTTAAAATAGTGAATCTTTGGGACCAGTACATCTTAATTTTTGCACCAGCCGTCATGTGTGCCAGCGTAAGTATGGGCTGGCCACGGGTACGTTTCAGCACGGGTTTGTCTCAAGGCTGGTACGCATCTGAGATAGCACCACTTGGATCGTGAACTAGCGAAGATATGTGCTAGCACGATTGTGGGTCAGCACGAGTTGTTTACTTAGCTGGCACACCCTTAAAGCCAGCACCACTTAATTCCTGAGCCAGCACCAGTCCGAGCCAGCACGAATGTAGGTCAGTACAGATTAGTTCTTCTACCGGCACATTTTCAGCCAGCATAGCTTGATCCCCGAGCCGGCACTGGTAGGAGCCAGCACGGCTCGAACTTCCGAGAATAGGAATGGTGTACGGAATTGGTCGCTGCGCGGTATGAGGAGAGAAAAAGATAGCCACAGCCAGAAACACAGCCACAGCCACAGCCTCAACTACCCCTGACTTACCACCTACCGGGTAGATGTTCAGGTAGTTGGACCAAATCAACATAAAGCTTAAGGACAATCAGGATCGGGGTATGTCGCCGTGCATTTTCATTTCGTTCAACCGCTATATACCTACATATATATACATTACTTCAATAACACTTAATCTTCAATCAGTATTGCCTTGTGCCGTTTGATTGAAGCTCCGTCGTACTTTGTAAGAAATTTCCTTTTTCTTTTTCCCATTGGGGCTTGAGCTGGAATTATGACGCTGCTCAACCAAGCTTTTGTGACCAAGCTTAAAGCATCGGCTCGGAGTTGCAGGGCATCTTCTTCGCCAATGTCACCGCAAATGACATCTTGGCATAGCATGCGGCGGCGTGCCATTGAAACGACCAACGGGCCACAGCTAAAATCGTCAAGTTGACAAGGGGTTTTCTGCTATGGTTATTAATATGCCGCGCTGGAAGAGTTCATCGTACAAACCTGATTCATGTACTGTAGGTTGGGAAATTTCCTTTTGCATGCCGCCTATTAAATAATTAACACCGAACCTATTCCGAAAGGCCAAAAAACTTACTTGGATGTCACTAGTTTTATATCCTTTAGAGTCGTAGTGGTAAATGCGACCATCCCTCTGGTTAATCTCAAGAAGACTGAAATGGTTATCGTTCTGGAAAAGTGGGAAGAAGCAAACTAGGCGATCCTCGCTTTCTGCCTTGTTCCATTTCTCGATCTGGTCGGCAGCCCTTTCAAAGGGATCACGCAGTACTTTCCGTTCTCGTCCTCGAATATTTTCATGAATAGGAACCGAGAAACCGATGCGAATATGCGGCAACCTATCGGCCAGATGCATGCAAAGCAAAATCAGCTCATGGCTAATCCAGTTCGACCCCTCTAGACCACTTAGAATATCACTGTTAAACCGAAACTGTGCAGATTCAATTTCAAAATGGCCTTCTGAGGAGGTCGTCCTCATCCTGGCTTGAAGGTCTGTAATCCCTTCCGAGATTATTTTAGTAAGCTTGACAGAAGGTCGTCGATCCAGAAGCTTTTGTTTCTCGAGGGACTGCTCTAGAATATCCGGGCGCGTCTGCCCGTGCTCAAGCAGCAGATCCATCTGCTCCCCTAGAAGCTGAAGAATACACATCTTCTCTGGGCACATTTGGAGGCAAGCGATGATCCTCATCAGCAAAGGCTCATCCGTCTTGACAAGCGTCCTACGAGAAGTTTAGTACTATATTTCTCCCCCATGGAACTTGATTGATAACAAGGAACTCACCATGCATCCTTGAAAAGAATACCGAAACCAAGACTATCCACTAGCTTAGCCCATTTCCTGCCGCGCGTCAAGTGTGTCGTGAGACGCTTGCGGCGCAATTCCCACCCTATCTTCTGGGTTGAATCTTTCGGGGGTTCGCCAAGAAGCCTTCTCGATACCTCCGTTGCAGCTGCGCGGGGTTTTAATGAGTACCGCCTTGCCTGGCCGTCGTACCAGCGGCTCAGTGCCATCGCGGTTAGGGCATAGTGAATCGAACTCCTTCGGCGGCCCAGAAAAGCCGTTTCAACTAGACCCTTCCATTCCGATCCGTCTGACCAAACCGACTCATCTTGTTGTTCGCGCTTTAGTGAAGCGAATATAGCCTTGTAGGTGTCTAATGAATTATCTGGTAGCTTGAAGTCCTGAATCTCGGATAGACTTTCCATCGCAAACTCGGCACTGGACTGCGTAGCCATCGGTGGAAGTAACTGGCTATCACCTTTGCCAGTACGATGCCCCTGAGACCTTAGCTCACATCCTTTCAAAGGGGAGTCTTCGGGACTTGGAAGACTAGATTCGAGGAGATTATTCACGGGGCTTGGAGCTCTTGATGTCCGTCTTACAGTAGACGTATTGTAAGAGTCCGAGTCGCTTAGAGGTAAAACCTTTGGCCGCCGTGAGCCCCGAGACGCCCTACGGAATCTTTTATTTCTACCATTTGAACTTTCCGAAGCATGCTGGATATTCGATGACTTCCGGTTGTTTGATTTCGAACATAATACGAAAGACTCAGTGGACGAGTCTAAATCTTCGCTCTGGCCATTTGTATCGGGAGTAGATATTGTAGACATACGCTGTTCCCTGGTGAGAGACTTTGAATTGCCGTCAAGTGCCCTTCTCCCTTCTGGTAGGACCTCAATAGTAGATTGGGCTCTATCAAGTATGTCGTTGGACGGAAGGGCAATCTTGAGGGATGGCCTCAAATTAGCCTTACGCTGTTCTCCGAGACCGGCCTTTGACCCGTCATTGCCGGTGGTGTTGGGTTGAAGGGGGTCTTTCTGAGATATTGATATCTCATCAGCTTTATTCTGGTCATCGGTGCAGAAGTCGTTACAACTCTGATAAAGCTTCTCGGATATTCTGCGTAGTTCATTTCGCTGAGAAATGGTACAGATGGATAGGAATTGGCCGAGCACTTCACTACCCACAAGCTCATTCGATGCCTTTATAAGCTGCGTCAGGAGCACTGGGATATGTAGGCGGGAAACGACCGAAGCGACAGCATCTTCTTCTAGTTGAATAGGAGTGAGTGGCTCGACTGAAGGTGACTTAGGGGTCATAGGGTTGACTGGCGAGCATGAACCCCGCCCCTTGCGAGCCAAAGACTTAGTATTTTCTGACATTGGGGAGACACTACGTAAAATAGAATGAAGAACTTTGGTATGGTTTGCTTTCGTGTGGTATTCAAGTTGGAAAAACAGAAAATAAATATTGAGAGGGTTGAGGGGTAAGTGAACGGCTTTATAGCTGTCATCGGTCGTAGTCTTCCCTGCAACTGTATTCTATACTTTTCAGGAGGCCCCAAAGGCCGGTCGTTCCTTTACATGCCCCCACACCTCGCATAAATTGACTTCCTAGGAAGTTATCCTTACTATGTACCTACCTAAGGTACCCGAGGCACCTGACACATCATTGGGTAGGTGGACACACCACATGGAAGGGTTCAGTAGCAAGACACCCTTGTTTTTGATGATGTGCTTAATAATGGATTCCTAGGGAAGTGTATGGAAAAAGGTTCCAAGCACGAGCATAACTTCCTAGGAAGTTAGCCTTACCGTCCTGTCTATTTCCGTCTGGGACTCTACCTACTGGAGGGTAGGAATAGTTTGGTTTGAGGCCGCCCAATACGACCTATTTGCAAGTCACCTGGCTCTTCTTCCATACCCCTGACACTCTTTCGCGAGGTATTCCTGCCCCTATCTATTAAATCTGAGGGTAAATTGCTATGAGTACGTTGGTGATGATTTACTGTTGGTGAGTGGGTCTCCGGGATGCATATGCTGTTAGCTGTAACCCCTTTGTACCGACTCCATCCGTAGGGAAAGGGGAGGATGCAATTGGTAAGTGTTGTAGCCGTCGGCTTCACTCACGTCTCACATATAGGTACACGCCACTATCTCCAGTGACAAGCTGGTTTTAATATCCATCTCATCACATCCTTTCCGCCCTAGCGTAAACAAAAAGTGTAGGACACTATTGGAGTTTCGAAATACCCACTAAATCTACCTTGTGGTATTCGAACATTCATCAAGCCATAACAACAGTACTCTAGCCCTGCTGTAATCTAAGGTGAGCCAACTAGAACAAAGGATAACCTTTTTATGTATTGCCACGGGCTCCGATAGTTGAGAGCCAAAGTCCCTAGCGGAATCACGAAGATATTTCCGTGCCTTCCAGGTCCATTTCACACGGAAATCTATTTTACCTGATGTTTATTTTCCCCTCATATGTACATGCAAGACTCTTTTGGATTGCTCCGAAAAATAGGCAATTCCGCCGATCAACCTGGCTCCAACAAGTTGCAACCTCAACTTGGCGTCCTAAGACTCAGAGTCATGCAACTCTTAGGATGGCACGTAAGACCAAGTCTTGCATGTTTACCCGTGCCAACACGAGGACAATGTAGCACTATACATCACGGTTTAATATGCTTCTCGTCCCAGTTTCCGCTTCCCCCCAATACTATTATTGGTAGATTATCTAGTACGTTCTGCAACCGGGTGCTACCCGGAGTCACTTGAGGCCGATCTCGTTGTGATTTTCACATGAGTATTGCGGAAGGACATAACAGTAAGCTTCTCTTATTCACATGTATACCTTACTTACCGACATCTTACCTCCTGCCAACGAGAAATTCTTCGAGTAATGGCAACTTAAATTAGATGAACGAAGAAATAAGTCGTTAAGGGTTTAGGTATGTCACGTGTTATTCGGCTTAAGTAATAAGTCACGTGAAGTTCACGTACTGACTGGGCAGTTAAAGTATACGTATAAAAAAATACAAACTTTTACTAGTAAAATCATATGGAAAGGTATGTACCAACATGATGGCCGTTTAAAAACGGTGGAACATCTACTAACTACCGTTTAAAACATTGAGTTCTACTTAAATGCCTGAATACCTAAGTACTTAGGTACCTATTTATGCACAATAATACAGTGTCAGTTTCTTATTTCATACTGTCATTCAGGTGTACGACTCCGGTCAGGCTCAGGTTTAAAGCGCCATGGCTCAGGTACGAATTAAGTACCCGACATCAAATGTAAAACCTATTTACCAGGTTATAAGTAGGTAGGTTAGGTAATCCCATAACTTTTCAATGTCGTGGTAAAGGGTTATTAAGAAATACTAAGCCGTGCCTCGTATTTAGCTTCATTGCTAATACCTGGATATTATTAAGAAAACTATTCTCTTACACATCAAGTCACTAAAGGAAATTGCGTTATCTTCAAAGTTACCCAAGTACCTAATGTTTATTCATTGGCCATCGAGACACATTAACACTTTAACACATTAAAAGAGACTCCAAGTTCCATAAGGTAACAGAAGGTAGTTAACTGTGAACATATATTGAAATAAAAAATATATACATGATTCCTCTAACGCCACTCCTTGATGCAATGCTTACATGCTTCATGCTCTAATTTAGATAATAGAAAAAATCATTCGTCTTCGAAGTCTTCTTCGGCAACCTAGGATACGTTAGAAAGAAGAAGCAATAATAACTTGTGTGGTGTGTTAACTTACGTTGTCGTGGAAATCCTGCCCTCCCTTGGTAGCTACGATGATGCCTGCTCGAATACAGAAATCGCCAAAGTGCTCACCCTCCTCGCGTTCCAAGGCATAACGCTTCAGTAATGGCTTCATGATAGCCAATATCTCATCTTCCTTTATGCTTGACCGGTATAGCTTGTTCAACCGCTGCCCATGGTATCCACCGCCTAGGTACATATTATAGGCGCCAAAGGCTTTGCCAACGAAGGCAACCTCTGCCAGCCAGGGTCGAGCACAGCCGTTCGGACAGCCCGTCATTCGCATAACAATTGACTCCTTGCCTAGGCCGTTCTCCTCGAGGCAACCCTCAAGCTTAGTGATGAGTTCGGGTAGGTAGCGCTCACTTTCGGCCATAGCGAGACCACAAGTGGGGAAGGCGACACAGGCCGAGGAGCTGAGACGCAATCCAGAGAACTGGACATTATCTAACTTGTACTTCTTTAGAAGTTCCTTCATATGTGGAAGATCTTCGTCTGTAACGTTACTGAGGGTCAAGTGCTGATTTCCCGTCAATCTGAACTCGCCTTTGTGGACCTTGGCAATTTCGCGCAAACCAGTCTTCATCTGGAAATCAGCAGTGTTCTCGATTCGGCCGTTCTCGATAAAGAATGTGAAATGGTTCATGCCAGTCTCGTCTTTTTGCCAGCCGAACGTGTCGACGTTACTCTTGAAGTGGAATTGACGTTCTGGCTCGAATGACTTGCCCCATAAGGCCTCCACTTTAGAGCGGAAGACGTCGACGCCGAGATCGTCGATAGTATACTTTAGTCGAGCGTGCTTTCGGTTCTTGCGATCACCATGATCCCGCTGCACTAACATAATCTTCTCACAGGCAATATGAATCTCATCAGTCTTGACGAAGCCCATCATACGACCGGTCTGGGGATAGGTCTTCTTGTTATTGTGGGTTGCACCCATTCCTCCTCCGGCAAGAACGTTGAAACCCTCTAATTGACCATCGTCGCCTTTAATGGCAATTAGGCCGATATCATGAGCATAAACATCCGTATCATTGTGCGGTGGAATGGCGATTGTAACCTTAAACTTTCGGGGGAGATAGGTGGGTCCGTAGAGAGGTTCGAAGTCTTGGACTGCGTTACCGGCAACCTGCGTCTTCTCATTATTGTCATCTGTGAGCCAGATCTCGTGATACGCAGTAGTAGACGGTAGAAGGTGGTCGCTAATCGTCTTCGAACAAGCCCAGACTTGCTTGTGGTACTGAGACTGAGTAGGAAGAGAACTGCACATGACGTTCCTGTTGACATCGCCGCAGGCAGCAATCGTCGTCATTAGAGACCTGTTTATAGCTTGCATGGCTGGTTTAAGCTTTCCCTTCACCACGCCGTGGAACTGGAATGTTTGCCTCGTAGTGAGCTTCATGGTCTCATTTCCGAGACTTGTGCTGATGTCATCCATCTGGACCCATTGCTTTGGTGTAGCCACGCCACCGGGCAATCTACAACGGATCATGAACGAATAGGCGGGCTCTAACCCCTGGGCTTTTCGCTCATCACGAATATCTCGGTCGTCTTGCATGTACGTGCCATGGAACTTTGTAAGCTGCTGGTCGGAAGCAGAGATAGCTCCAGTGGTAGTATCTCTCAAGCCCTCTACGATAGTACCTCTAAGATAGTTTGAGGCTAGCTTAATATCCTCGTTTGTTAAGGGTGCTGGTTCCTCTGGTAGGCCTTCGACGTTTGCAACGCCGAGTGCTTGCCATATTTGGGGTTCCCATAGCGCATATCCAGTCTGGTATCCATCGGGATCTTGGTCATCGCCTAGTCCTACTTCAGAGAGTCTCTTGGCGCCAAAATTCGCGAATATCCTATCGAGGTCTTTAGCAGGCTTGTTGTAATAAACTCTATCTTCTTTTCGTGGCCAATAATGCTTGTCTCCAAGACCGAAAATCGAATAGTTTACTGATGCGAGGTCTAGATCAGTATTATCTTTGATGGCATCCCAGAAAGGCTTGCCGTTCTGCGGGAATTCTCCTTGGCCAGCTGTCGAAGTGATAAGCACAATGTTTTCTTCTTTTGGTAGATCTTCAACGGGATAATCTTCCATCGCCATCACAATAGTCTTCAGGCCCCTGGCGCGACCTCTGGTTCCAAGACGCTTGGCTAACGACTGCGCATTTCCATTGTCAGAGGCAAATAGAATTGTAAGAGGTGCACCGAAGAGACCTTCTAATAGCTCATTGTACGCGTCCCGAGCCTTTCGCTTTTGCTGTGCGCGAACTTCTGTGCCAAAATCCTGAGATAGACTTGCAGCAAATACCGGTTCGCGCCGCATGAGTTGAGTTAGTTTATTATCTCTTGCCAGAAACTCTTTCAGCTCATTCTTAACCCGCTCGGAATCCAGAGAGAAGTTGGGTTCTCCCTTATCTTCGTTCTCGGGGTTCCACCTGTATAGAGGCCAGTAGCCGAGGTCTACTGCCTTCTTGGTCTCTTGGAGAACGGTCAAGGGAGAGTCGTGCTCGCCGAAGTATGGCAGGTAGGCAAGCACAACTGAAGGACCATTGAATTTATCGGCTTCAAGCATAGCTTGAAGGACCTGGGTATATGAGCTGTAGACAGCAGTTGATGCAACGTAGGCATTACCAAAGTTCATGGCATATAGACCGATATCCTTCTTTCGCCTCTCGGCATCCGCTGCAGCTCGTTCCGAGTAAGGAGTCGAGTCGATGATGAGCATATTGACATTCTCACCAGACGCAAGGACATGATGTACACCAGAGTTACCAAGATCATACGCCCAAGCGTCAGACCCAACAAGCCACAAAGACTCTTTTCGGAATAGACTTTTGCTTGACAGAAGTTCACGTGCAATCGAAGACCCGTCGGTCTCAAGTCGAGCAATTACATCATCTGCAAGCTCTCCAGCTTGTTTAGCATCCTCGGCATTCCCGGCCCACTTTGCCAGCCAGTTCACCGGGGCTTCAGTAATGAAAGACCCTGTACTCGCGGCTTGTTTGGCCTTCTTGATGAATCTTTGGCGGTGCTCCTTTCGTGCTAGGAGAGAACCAAATCCGAATTCCGGACTAGCTGCTATCGTGGACGAAACACCAGCATTGTTAGAATTGAGGGCATTCGCTATGTAAGCTCGGTTGCCAAACAATTGGTCGAGTATTTTCGTGTAGGCGGTCTCTAGTTTCGGTTGCTCTAGGCCGTAAACTTTGGTATCCTCCGGACCACTCGTCTTCCCTACTTCCAAGTTTTGCAGAGGCTTCTCAGAAGCAAGATTCTGGAAGATGCCTCTTAAGGCCTGGTGGATCGTATCAGGGGTGATATAGCCTAATTGATGGCCAACGACGGTCTCAACGCCGCCAAAGCCGCTTTTTACCGATGTTAGAACATCGATTAATAAAGGTCCCCATTTCGTCGTCTTTCGTGAAATCTGTTCTAAGACGGCAATACGCTTCACAGATTTCGGAATAGCTTCAATTAATTTAGATCCTAACCATGGGCGATATAATCTGGCTGTGATTAATCCAGCCTTGGCGTAGATGTCATCTGGTTTAGCCGCATCGAGTGCCTCGGCGAACAGACCCGCGTCGGAGCCGAAAACAAAAATTGCCTTCTCTGCGGTTGCCGGACCAGACCACTCAAAAGCATTGTAAGAACGTCCGGTGGCGGCTTTGAGCTGAGCCCATATTGAGGTAACGTATTTATAAATGTCTTCAGACGTAACGAGGGGCGGTGCAGCATCAATTGTCGTGGCTGGAGATACACTCGGGGGAGCGCTAGAGTTGCTTTGCTGGCTGGATTTCTCTGAGCCTTCTGAAGAAGCTGCTTTCGAGGCAGCGCCAAGAATAGTCGAGTCTGCCAAAGCGTTAGGAGTAGCACTCGGTCGTCTTTCGGGCTGCTCTGACGCATAAACAACTCTTCCGTCGTCGGCGTATATGCCGGACTCTGACACAGAGCTTGCTTGGTACCGGCGAACATCGTCCAAGTTTAACAGGTCGCGGACTAATGCGGCATCTTCCGTGGAGATCGGCTTATCATGAGAACAGGCGCTCGGATCAAAGAAGTGGATAACACCCTTTCCAGAACGCACGGCTAAAGCATGGGCTGTAATAGCCATGTCCTGTGCTTCCTGGAGCGACTCGGATTGCAAGAATGTCCATCCTGAATTCCTGATAGCGGTGATAGAAGAGTAGTCAGGGAAATTAGCCGGGTGTAGAGCGACGTGGATGACGACTGGATAGTTTGCTAGCTTGTACAGATGCGCAACGGAAGGGAGGAGAATGGTTGACGTGGTGGTCACAGAGGCGAAGCGGCCACTGCGGATTGGAGCAAAGACGGAGAGGAGGGGATCGTTGTTGTGTCGAATAGATTGTATCTATAAGGCCATTGGGTCAATTGGTAGATCTTATGAGTTGTATTTATAAGAGAACATACTTCTGGCACGGAACCTTCTGTCTTAGTGATCAGGTTAGGATCTTTTCTTTCAGCATATCTCTTAAGGTGGGAAGAGAATGTTGAGTCTTGACCCCGCGATGGCTGTACAGAGACAATGACATCACTGGTAAGGTATGCGATTCGTGCCACTATAATATTTAAGACAATTAGCCATCCTAGAGTATTGACTTATAAGATTTGAATAATCTTATGCTAATTGGAGCAGAAGGAAAGGAGGTGTGCTGTCTGTTGGATACAGCAGTAGTGTAAATTGTCATGTTAAATGCTGTAAGAGGTGGAATTGGGGAAATTGGTTGGATGGCGGGGCACATTTGAATGAATGTTAGTGGTACAACAAACAACAATATGTGTATAATAATAAGAGGTACGTAATAAAATAAATTCATGACTATTAGAACTTTGCAAGTTTACTTACCTGCCTCTTCAGGCGTGCGAATCTGGATATTCTGCGTTGCCATGTCGGACCCTGATTTTGAAGCAGAAGAGTCTGCTTTTCCAAAGAGAAACGACATGATGGCGCCCCTCTACATATAAAATCGAGCCTGGGTACCGGTACGCTAGAAATAAATTTTCCCCGACATTGAGAAAAGGCAAAGTGGGAATTCTAGACGATGGCGACAGCGCGACTAACATAGTTCAGACCCCGAATGTGGAACTTTTTATGGCCCCGCAAATGCAATTAGTCCGTCATTCACTGCAATCACGCAATCGCTTTAGCCTTGACTCTTTCCTAAACTCTACCAATAGCCATTGACACTTTGTCAGAAAACGCCATCGTTGGCCAACCAAATCCCCGGGTTGTACCTCGCATCATCTCGAACCGGTAATCGGGCAACCCCATATTTCCACAGCCAATCAGCTTTAACACTTTAGCCGTCCACGCCAAGGGGCCGATAGCCGCACGCATGTTTAACTTGTCGAAGTTGTTATTAAGAAAAACATGCGAGCGTTACCTTAATTACTATCTTATTAAATATTTCGTTTCAAATGAAATCATATCTTTGCCGGTGATCTTTCCGGTATTAGTAATTGTCTTCTTTGCTAGCTGCCGTCTTATTTATATTTTTTGCCGATAGCCGTAACGACTACACGCAACACTCGTAAAAGTCTTTATAAACATGATTTATATTTTTAACATCCACATATTTAATAATATACTTCGCATATCATACATATCACCTTTATGGTTTTCATCCTTTTGTGGATATAAACAAGGCCTTGCAACGAAGCTGCAAGGATATGATGTTCTGGGTTCCCCAGAACATCATCTTTAATAGGTGACACCTTTTGATCTCAGCCTCGTGATACTATCAGTCGTATAAGGTGTTAAAGATCCAAGTGTATAATAGTATTGATTAAGGTTCTAGGTTTGAGCTTTACTACCATGTACTGATAGTTAAAAGATCGCCTTATAATAGCTTAGCCGATTACGTAATATAGTAAGTTTATAAGAGTAACTCTGACAAAAGCGTTTAAAGCTTAAGCTGTGTATAAAAGGTCCTTGAAAAGGTCAAAAGGCCATATAAATATATTAAGAGTATATAATTACAATATTTGAAACTTAACTTAGCGCCAATATGGTCAGTCATGTTGATCAAGGAAGACTTAGGTATATTGAAATTCCTGTGTCAATGTTAAGTATGCCGCTTTTTTTATTCCCCAATTCACCCCAGTGGGGCCAACGGGAATAGTTAGAGTATCGTTATGTGTGCCATTGAGTTAGAATTGTAGGATATCCCACTTTATATAATACTATAAGTTGCAATACCTACATACTGTGAAATAGAGAGATACTCCTACATGCCGCATACCATCGCATATGTAAAAACCTATATTACCATTCTCGTGAATTCAATTCCGACATTTATAAAACATTTACCTATACATTGCTTTTACTACTCCCTGGACAGTTCATCTTCGGAATCTTCGTCAAGTGCTACTACTCTATCCACCCACTTGTATATTGGCCCAAAATCCATTGGTTTTTTGTCGCTCTGCTCATCCTCCAATGGCTCTTCACCATGGTAAAATTCATCGACGATATTATGCGTGAAATTTTCTTCTACTTGGTCACGGGACCAGAAGAAGACGTTTTTGGCTGTGTATTTTGAAATACGACAAATTGCCTCCATATCCTCCTCATCCACTACCGTTTCGTCACCAATACTTATATTTTCTAGAGGTAAAGGCATCGGAGGTTCAGGGTTGCGTTGATGCGTAGTATAGCCTTTGTCTCTTATAGATCCAGGAACAAGCCATGTCCAATGTTGGTACTTCCAGTGGTGTGAACATCTGAGGTGGCTTTGCAACTCCATATCAACGTCCTTGGAACGCATAAACCCAAAAGGGGGCCACGGGTTATTTGGAATCTTATGATAAGACTCATCCGTATAGTTATTGAAGCAGTCGTGACGCAAGCGCCAAACATTGGCTCTAGTAACCGTATCATCTTCTCGTAGATATGGTCCCTGGTTTTCGAGATCTAGAAACGACTGAGAAATGCCTGTCCAAGGGGCTATCTCCTCCCATTTAATTGTGTAAGTGTCACCATACTCAAGACAAGCGCGAAGGGGATATCCCCAATTACACAAGGAAACACCGAGCCACAAAGGCGCCGCTTTTGTACTAGACAGAACTTTCGCTAGCAATTCGTAGTCTCTCGATTCGTAGATTGGATCAAGTATCTTACTGATGGCCCGAGTCACGGCTCCTGCAACGTTGCAGTCAATACCCGGCTCCCAAACTACACTTTCCAGGCAAGCACCGAAGGTGTGGATGGAAAGGCTGAGTGTCATGAAATAGCTAAGTGACTCGAAATGAGGAGGATAGGTATCGTATGATCCAGAGAGATTCACGGATGGAGGCAACGAAACTGCGGGTAGAGTAATTGTGGGAAGCAGTGTATACGTAGAGCGGAAGCTGCGCGACGGGAGAGCGAGCGCCGCTGCAAATGCCGCAGAGTTTTGATCTCCCAGGCCACAGGCGGCACAAAACCGAGCTAGATAAGTGGCAGCTATGGCGGCCGTTGGCAGTTCCGCAAGTTCCGAGGCAACTCCGCTCCCGATAATCTCTAGTGAGCAAACGTCTTCAAGTAAGAGTGTCCAGGGCAGATGCGGACCTCGTTCCTTTTTGCCTAGCTGAGGCCTCCCGGGCGTGCTAATGAGTTTCCACCAGGCTACTTCCTGGTCTGTCGCATAAGCAAGTTCGATACGTCGCAGCGGATCCGACGAAGCACACGAAGAAGAATCTCGTCGGGGGTTGGACCGAAGATATTTCAAATGCAAATGAAGACCTTGCCGTTCTGCAAGACTCATATTTAGAATATACGCCCAGGCAAGAACAAGAAGAGCCAATCCATTGTACTTGGAAGTTTTCCATACTTGGAAGCTTGCTTCGGTAGATAGACTGCACTTGATGTACCATGGTTGCCGTAGGGAGAGCTCCTGGGTTGGATCCTGCTTCTGTCGCAAGTCACAACTCTTACTTGAAGATTTGCTTTGATTTTCCCAAGTTGAAAATCCCTCAATGACTGCCCAGTTGCTTGGGATACGCGCTGGTAGCGCGGGTATTCGAACTAGAAGACTGTCTAGATCACGCACGTGTAAAAGGTTATCAACAGGAGTGGACTTGGCGTGAGCAAGAGCCTTCTTCCAACGTCGATATGTCCTACGGAAAATTGCTTCTCGTCGAGGATCATCAAAAGCTTTTCTCGGGTCATTGTATATTGTGTCGGCGTGTTCCATTGTCGACCTCGACGCCATGATTTGGGAGATTTTTTGTGTAGTAAAAACAGTTAGATGAGTGGTCAATAGGCAATGATTACTTTGCTCATCCGCGCATCGTAGATTTGCTGTTGAGCAGTAAGGAAATTGACCAACAGCAACAAGAAAAAGAGAACAAAAAATAACAAAATCGATTTTTTATGTGTAATGATCTAGGTGAAGACTATGGCTCCTATTTCATGGGATTGGAGTAGTTCAAAGGTCTGCTTAATGAGAATCAAGGCCTAGACTTTAGCGGTGAAGGTGTACCCCTACCTTATGTAATGTACCTATGTATAATATACAGTGCCTAGCGAAGGCGTTCTCCCTTCAACCACAACATACCCTGCATTTCTTACCATCCTATATTTTGGGGTCTCTACATCTACGTAGTAGCAACTAGGCCACCGTAACGTAACAAAAGAATTACTTAATAGAGAATCATGCACGACATAGACCTTCACTGTCAGATGTACAATCATCTGAGAGGGCTTGGAAATCAGACCGGGACTTGTATAGAAATGATATCCACTTGAGTATCCAGTGTAGCATTACGTGCCGGGGGAGGGCTGCAAAGCTATACCTGATGATCCCCTTTTGCTTAAATCTCACAACCAACAGGAGGGCCTCGCATCGCCACTCGTTGGATCGTCTCGCGGCCTTTCCCGAGCAAAGCGTTGCATGAATATTAACCACACCACGAAAACTCCAACTCGCGGACTCGGCATTCACTCGGATATTGAAGTAGGTATTGGTGGTGTGAATGATTTGCCTATGGTAATGAAGTAGTCTCCCACCAACAGCAATAGCAAAATCAAGGTCTAGTTAACCGCGTTTAGCGTGATCACAACATCAAGAGAATATTGATGGAGCAGAAGGGCGGTTGTACCTAAACTATAGTGATAAGGATGACGTTTGCAAACCCGACTCCAATGAGGCTGTGAGCTAACTGCAGTGACTTCTTACACACCTTTTCCCTCATATCGACCAACAAACAAGCCCGGGAAGTGACTGTTTCATTCCGAAGCATCTAATTATGGGAGGATGCTAGGAAATGGTTGAGAACAAGGGCAAAAGTAAGACGGAAATTCGGGATTGATTAGTGTTGGGGGGGATAATGCTGCTTTTTAATATTCCAACGTGATGATGATCTAGCACATATTACCACATACTCCAAACATAATCTAACCAACTGTAGGGATTATTTGAAATCCTAAAACAGCAAAACTCCTCGCATCGAAAATGGCCCGGCGTTAGCGAAGCACATCCGGCGAAACTAGTAAGTACTATCACGATCCCTCAAACCTGGCCACCTACGTTTGAGTACATATGTACCTCATATATAGCCTATAGGCATAATTATATTCACGAAGGTATATTCACGAAGCTTCAGGTTACTTCGAATGCAGCTTCTCGTCACATTCCATGACGGCCAAGTCCTCATTATGACCTATGTTGAAACGTGTCGGGGACTGGGGGTGGGTATAGAGCCTTAGAAATATGTGGGTAATACGAGAGCCCCTTTTATTACCTAATATTCTAAGTACCTAGGTACCTCTATATTGTATTTATCATGTCTCCTTTTAATCTTCACCCATAATCTACATCACCACTACCAACTGCGTCCCGTTTTAATAACAACACGTACCTAGCACTTTATTACCTAGATATTTACCTCTCAATTACTTATCAATTATGGCTGGTCCCGGAACTTCTCCGTCTTTCTGGGAACGGGAATTCCACAATGTAAAGCTAGCAAAGCCTGCATCTATTCCGTTCCTCAGCGACGAATTGATGGACGGACTGCCTCCTGATTGTTCTTTCAAAGCGTTTAAGCGACCACAGCTTCGAAGATGTCCTTTCAATCTGGAAACAATTGACTGGCCACGTTCGAGAAGAATTGACGGCGGGCTCGACGGAAGTATCTTGAAAATTTATTTTCAAGGGAGTGACATTCCTTATTGCTTGAAAATTGTAAGCCGCACCTTAATTTTGAAACTTCCCAGGACGGTACGGCTGGGCCATTTACTTACGACGTTACTTAGTTCTGGGATCCGGAAGCAGGTTTTGGTGGGGTTGCACAATTTGCCGTTGAACGAGAATGTATAAATGCCTCCGTACTCCAGAAAATGGAAACATCAGTAGAGGAAGCCGTCACGGGTTCCTCTCCGCCTATCCTGATCAACCCCAACCCAAAGACCAAGGAGGACGCGATAGATAATATTTACGGCTTTTCCCGCGAAGGCCGACAGGCTGGGTTGTCTAGTTTGTCTAAAGTAGACTATGAACCCATGTCTGTGACCTCGATGCCACGCATGAGGAAATGTTATGGGTGGGTCAAAATCGATGCTCATTCACTCCTCGAAGGCTGGCCAAGACGCGTTCGTCCGAGCCCTGTCCAAGTTGGTAAATTCAGGCGAAGCTTCCAACCCGGTAGGGAATATTTTGCGATTGTCTATGAATGGATTGAAGAAGAGGACAATGACCCGGCCACGGTTCAAGCGGTTGATACATTTCTCTACCGTGCTGGTTTTTGCCATCAGGCAGGCTCCCATGTAGACAACTGGAAAGGTGGAGTATTGCTCGATCTCTCGGACTATGTCTACGTCTTCGCCCGTTGGTGGCGTCGTATGTTTTACGAGCCGAGAGAAGTTGACAACATTCTTCAACCGCATGATCAGAGGTAGTCTGGCGTGGTGGCTATATAGGTACCCAAGGTCTAAATTTTCAAAGCTAATAGGTACATACTACCTAATGTAGGTATTTGACCTGACTTAACTCATCGTACGCGCTAGTTTGAAATACTCAGGTTCTTTACATACGAATAGCAAATTCAATAAAGTAACCAGCAGAATAGCACTAAAATCATTTGATTGAGCTCGAAGTGTGTATATAATATACGTACCTAGGACTACATGTAAACACTACCTAAGGTACATAGGTACATACATACCTACATATTCAACGTTGCGTGCGTGCAAGTGTGTGTGTACACGTACCTCGACCCAGCTTCGCATGTAAACATCTATACATGTAATCATGCACCTGATATTTGGGCTAGATTCCGGCGAAAGGCTTGATATGCAAGAGGCTGTTAAACGATATCCTTTCGAGCTTCGTGGGCACCTGATCGACGCATTATTTCTCTGCCACCAGGAGGTACTTCCGGATACTCTTGACGTATTCCAGGTGGAACGACCACTTCTATAACAAGCATCTAAGGTACAGAGAAGGCGCCGAGCGGAATGGCCAGCGTCAAGTGTGCAAGCATCCCAAGTGCTTCACAATGTATTTTCCGGACTTGGATAGCTTCAGGAACCACGTCTTGGCAGTTCATGGCGTCCCGCTTAGAACGCAAGAACAAGTCGAGCGCATACGGGCAGGGAATGCTAAGAGACGGCCGTGAAGTACTTATGGAAGTCGGTGATTTTATAATAGGGAATACTTTATGGAGTAAACATGGGATACAATACCGGTCGAATTTACAATAAGTGTAGGTAGCTTATATTGATTATATTAATATTTTAACCAGCCCAACCCCTGATTCGTGAGACTCCGCAAAGAATACAAGACGGTTCGGCGGGATTCAGAGGTCGGACGAAACTGGCTCATTAGGTAAGTTTCTTTACCATTGTTGGCCCAGGTACTGGTACCCAGTAACGCTAGTAGGTGCTGTTGCTTGAGCCGGAATGGTACGAAAACAGCCTTTAGCAAGAGCAACGGCACAGTAGTCGCGTTCACTGAGGTCTATCTCATGGGTACCTAGGTAGATATGTATAAGTGAGAGTAGATCCAGTAGTTGGGGCATTATGTAATTACGAGACTTTAAATATCTCATAAGCGTGGCTAGAGCCAGGGCCAAAAAGATATTCCAGCCACAAATCGACTACTTAGCGCGGGGTAAATCATTAACCTACCTAGGTACCGAGGTACTGTTAAGTTATCTTAACTAGCTTAAACCAGTGACGCGAACTTCGTTTTATCTCAGTGAACTTAAACCATAAATTCGAGATCGTTTGTGCGGTTGTACTTTTTTTAACCACATAACTTTTTAATTAATTATAATTTTAGCATAACTTTAAAAATAATCTTAAATTTTTGGTTTAAAGCAATTTGGGCGATTTTTACTATAATTAATTATTTAATATTAAAAATAATAATAATATTAATACGTTTAAAATAAATTTTAATTAATTTAAAATATTTATTAACTTTATTATTAATAAATATATGCGTTTATTTAACTTTTTAAACGTTTAAATATATACGTTTTAAACGTTTCGAACATTTTAAAGTAATAATTAACCGTAATACCGGTTATAATACCGGTTATAACATTAATTATAACATTTTTTTAAAAATATATTACGTTAAAACTTATAATATTATAACGTAATACCGTATAAACATGTAAAATAATAAAAAAATTTAAATAATTAAATTATTAACTTTAAATTAAAAAAAAAATTATTTTATACGTAGTTATAAATGTATGTATAGGTTTAAATACGTAATTATAAATATTAATATAACATTTTTAATATTATTATATATTTTTAAACGTTAAAACTTATAATATTACAATATAATATTATATAAATATGTAAAAAAAATAAAAAAAGTAAAATATTAACTTTAAATTATAAAAATAAAAGTTATTTTATACGTTATTATTAAATATTAAATTATTATAAATATAAAGTTTAATTTTTAAAAAAATTATTTTAATTATAATTAAACACGTTAAACATGTTTTAAATTAAAATTCATTAAAACTTTAACTTTATATTACTTTTTTAAATTTTAAACTTATAAATATAATAACACGGGCCAAGCGTTTATATGGCGTTTATAACGTTATTAAATGTTAATAAACGTAATTTATTAATTTAATAAATTTTAATTTAAATTTATTAAAATAAATTTCGTTATACTTTTTCCGTTACATTTTTTTTTAACCAATTACATTTTTAACTTATTTTTTTTACAAATTTCGCATTTTTAATTTAAAGTAATTTAAACGATTTTTAATATATCATTTTATTTAATATTAAAAACAATAATTAAAATAAGTTTTAATTAATTTAAAACATTTATTAATTTTATTATTAATAAATATACGCGTTTTAAACGTTTTAAACGTTTTAAAATAATAATTAACCGTAATACCGGTTATAACATTAATTATAACACCGGTTATAACGTTTTTATAAATATACCACGTTAAAATTTATTTTAATTTTTAAATTTAAATTTATTAAAACAAGTTTTACCCGTTTATTAAACGTTATAAACGCCACGTAACGTTTAATTTATATATTTATATTTATAAAACATATATATAAATTTTAACAAATTTAAATTTAAAATTTATTTAAATTTAAACGTTATTTATTTTTTTATTTAATAATAAACAATAAAAAATTATATTTATAATATTTTAAAATATTATAATAATGTATAAAATAACTTTAATTAAAATAATTTAAAATTAATAATATATTTAATTTATTTTTTTAACTTTTTTATATATACGTATAACGTTACGTTTTTATATATTAAATTAAAACGTTAAAAATTATTTAATTTTTAAAATATTATAATTAATATTATAATATTATAACATTATAATTAATATTATAATTAACATTATATATATAAAATAATGTTTTTTATTTTAATTATAATTTTATAATATTATTATTTAAATTTTCCCGTGTTTTTATTTTATATATTTATATAATATCGTTTTTTTATATATTAAATTTTATAACGTATGTTATAACCGATATTACGGTTAATATTAACCATTTTTAACATTATAATAACATTTATAATTATATATAAAATATTTTAAAAGTTATTATTTTATTATTTAAACTTTTCCGGTTTTTTTTATATTTATACGGTTTTATTACGTGTTACGGTTACGGTGTTATAACCGGTATTATAACCGGTGTTATAACCGTTATTACGACCGTTATTATAATCATTTTTAATATTTTAAAAAATTTAAAATGCGTGAAATTCGATAAACTTAATAATAAAATTAATATAATTATATAATTAATTATTATTTATTATAAAAACGCGTTAATATTGTTATTTTTAATAATTTTATTAATTTAATAATGTTTTTAAAAAATAAAAACGATTTTTAATAAAACCGTGTTTAAAATAATTTTAAATTAAAGTTTTAAAATTTTTTTAAAAAGTTATAATTAATTAAAAAAATAATGTGGTTAAAAAAATAATGTGGTTAAAAAAATACAATTTTATAAACGAAAAATTTTAAAAAATTTAATTTAAAATCATTTAAAATAAGTTAAAACTTATAACATTATAACGTAATACCGTATAAACATGTAAATAATTAAAAAACTTAAACAATTAAATTAAAAACTTTAAATTATAAAAATAAAAAGTATTTTAAAAATAATTATAAATATAAAACGTAATTATAAATATAAACACGTAAATGTAAATATTAATATAACATTTTTAATATTATTATATATTTTTAAACGTTAAAACTTATAATATTATAACGTAATATTATATAAATATATAAAAAAAATAAAAAAATAAAAAAAATATAATATTAACTTTAAATCATAAAAAAATAAAATATATTATACATTATTATAAATGTATATATAAATATAAATATTATTTTAATATATTATTATATGTTTTTAAATGTTAAAACTTAAAATATTATAACGTAATATTATATAAATATATAAAAAAATAAAAAAATAAAAAAAGTAAAATATTAATTTTAAATTATAAAAATAAAAGTTATTTTATACGTTATTATTAAATATTAAATTATTATAAATATAAAGTTTAATATTTAACTTTTTTTAAAAAAAACTTTTTAAAATGTAATTAAACATGTTAAACATATTTTAAATTAAAATTCGTTAAAATTTACATTTATAATTTATAAATATAATTATACAAGCCAGGCGTTTTATAGCGTTTATGGCGTAATTAAACATAAATTTAATTTTTAACGAATTTAATTTAAACCATTAAAATAATATTACACCGCATTTTTTATATAAATGTAACTTTACGTTAATTTTAAATTAAATTTTAAAATTAAATTAAATTTAATAATAAAACGCAAGTTTAAATTAAATTAAAAATATTATATAATATTACGTTAAATAAATTAAAAACTTAAATTTTAAAATTAAAATTAATTAAAGTTATTATATTATAAATAAAAATACGTTTAATTAATAATTAATAATATATTTTTTATAATATTAAACTTTAAAAAATTAAAAGTTAAAATAAATTAATGTTATAAAAAACTTTAAAAACGTTAAAATGTTACGATTTAAATAATTTTTATTATTTAAATAATAATTATTTAAAAAATGTGTTTAACATATAAACTTTAATTATATATTTATAATTAACGGCGTTATTATTTTAAATTACGATAATATAATATATAATATATAATATATTTAAATAATTTTTTAAAAATAATAATTTAAACGTTATAATTAATATTATTTAATAATTTTAATTAATGTAAAAATAATAAATTAAATTATATGTTTATATAATATGTATTAAATATTATATTATTATTAAAATATTTAAAGTTTATTTAAAATAATTTTATTAAAATGTTTTTAAAAAATATTAATCACGTGTTTATTTTTTTAAACAAACGTTATTTAATTTTATTATAATATAATAATTAAAAAGCCAATTTAAATGTAATTTAAATCATTGTTTTTACATTAATTAAAATTATATAATAATATTAATTATAACGTTTAAATTATTATTTTTAAAAAATTATTTAAATATATTATATATATAAAATAATTAAAAATTTAAATTAACAATTAAATCTTTTAATTTAATTAACCAAATTATATTTATTTAATATAAAATAATAAAAAAATTATATATTTTATTTTATATATATTCCGTATAATATACTGTACACCTGCTATATTATCCTTTTTAAAAAGCCCCGACCCATTTTCCTGATTTTGGCACAAATGTCCTAACCGTCCACCATAACATGGCTGCTTAAGCAGTGCCCCGCGATAAAACATCGCGTGGAAAAAAGAAGAAGGCAAAAAAAAAAAGGAAAAAGGAAACAGAAAAAGAAAAAAAAAGACGGGGATCACACTTCGGCTTCTTTAACGGTTGGGCATCGCAAACCTTAGCTATGGCTTCACAATGCTCATTCTCTACACATGACGCAAGAGAATCTATTAGAAAGACCGGCGCTTATATTGTGAAAGATGCACCAACAGGAGATCGGGTTGTCTGCTTCGGGGAAACGCTACCTTTCAAAACCCCAGAAGGCTTGGAGTTCTGTGCCGAGAATAGTCTTCTTAATAAGGTCAGCCCAACTAGTCTCTGTATGTACCAGTGTCTCATCCTCTTCAGGACATACGGGCTGTAGTCGAGTCGAGCGTCAATCAACCTCGCTGGGGGCTCGCTAAGATATACCGTGGCGATGTACTTCCTTCCGATCAAGTCTACTTCTTTTTCGATGGTCCCGATATGCAAGTCATTCTCGTCCTTCTATGGTCCCCCGGATCGCAGTTTCTTTTATTCGAGGGCTCCCACGAACAAGGACTACGGGGTAAAACCATGTGTGACTTTGGTATTCTTACATTATCTCGTGACCAAATGAGTAGAGAAGGCATCACAGAAGTCTTGGTTGATATGACAGAAGGTGGATTGTAAGCTTGGTACTAACCCTGTTTTGGTCCTGGAAACTTACCTGTCATAGTGCACTTATAGACGGTCGAGTCGGCTGGACAATTCTTAAAGGACAACAAATCGCTATTGGTTATGCATCGGAGGCAGAGATCTGTCACTGGGGAAAGATGAAACTTGGCGAGTCTGAAATCCTCAAGCAAAAGGTTGACGAGTTAAATTCCCGTGGGATCAAGACAAACTTTATATTCGTAAAGGCCTCTAAGAACGGCTCTTGATATGCAACCTATTTACAGATGAAAATAACCTACTAATGCACTGCATCCTCTTGTACGGGTCAATATAGCCCATCCATCGGATTTACAACCATCGTCAAACTTCGCCGATATAGCCGTCCATCGTACTGGTCTGTCGTGCTCTGAGAACTAGGGAAATTTTGAGATGCCAATCCAGAGGTCATCGATGCCGGAAACGTTCCAGTATAGTTACTAGCCAACTCAGGCTTGCTTGGCGGGAATGACAAGCCTGGAGCGACAGGTACGAAACTTGCTATTGTCTTCTCAGCATCAAATAAATAAATAAAAACATGGCGTGTGAGAACAAACTCGAAAAACTAGTTTCCCTTCCGGAATCGACCCGAGGAATATGTAGAGTAGAAGACGCATCTACAACCTCGGTACGCCTCATTTTAGGCGAAGACTTTTCATATTCGGGGTCCTGTCCACGTTTCATCGAATTCTTTGGTGGACCTTTCTTATTTTGCAAAGCAGCACTCAACTGGTTGTTCGAGGCTTGAATTATACGATGTCTTTGCTTTAACGCCTTCCCAATTATACCTTGGGGGAGCTGGTCCGACACCTGCTCTACACATTTTGCATGTATCCTGCTGAAGATGGATACCCTGCTCAACGGCTTCCGGCAGCGGGCGCAGTGCGCATCCTCGCTTGAAACATCCGAGCAGTAAACGTCTACACTATATCAGCTCGGCTCGCCAATGATCAAACCAAAAGATGGAGGCATTACGGGTCTGGTAGTGTCGACGAAGAAGTTTTCCATCGAATGGCCCTTTGTTGCAGTCGGGATGGGGGCAGTATTGTTCGTTGTCATCAGTAGGGTTGGGATGGAGGCGAGGCTGCTCGGGATTAGAGAAAACTGATTTTTCGTTGCCAAGCAGTGAGGACTGGGTCGAAGGAGACCTTGGTTCGAGAATCGTGCCTATCAAGCGACGTATTTCAGCCCGCAAAGGGGTGTATGTTAGGATTACGCTTAACTGGGAGGTGTGACTCGGGTACAAACTTTGTGTCTCCCAATGACCTCAATTGCATGATCTATCTCGGCGAGATGATGTTCAATGTCGTCCACCACAGAATACCAGGGAGTGGGCTGACCATTACCCTGGGACATTTTGCTTTTCGTAAATGATGTAGGTATTGGCGGATGTGATGAAGTTGCAAAAGGGGGAACTAACGCTGACTGATTGCGACGTGGGAGACAAAAAGGACAAAAAGGGACAAAAAGAACAAAAAGCTCGAGTCACATGTATGCCGCATGTTACATTCTTACCTACCTCTTAAGGTAACACCTCCTAGGTTACATGCATAGTAAGGTGTTGTGTCCATGTATGAGGTATTTAAAAATAGACCGGACAATTTCGAAAAATTGCGGGATATACTCGCACCCTTCAACATTGACATATTCAAGTCGACAATACTTCGATGTTGATTAGATTATATCCCCAGCTAAACTATCTACTCACCTTGCTATGGGAGATAACGTCTGTAATGCCTGTGGTGGCAAGCCGGTGGGTGTCGCCTGTGGTAATTGTGGAGCCAAGCCCAAATAGGGGTTGAAAGTCAAGGGGTTGAAAAGTCAAGGGATGTTAGAAATGATGAAAAATGGCAACTCAAATGCTTACAACGAACAGGCATACATAAGCAATGAAGACTGCATCAGGATCATCAGTCACTGTCATATTATCCTTTTCCAAGTCCTCAGAATGGAACATCAAGGTTGCACCTATGTCCGCCTCGCGTTTTGTGCATTGTTAGGTCCTTTGGGTCCTTTGGGTTCCTGTATTGCCGACACACTTTGAGGAACGATTACCTTGGATGATAAGCATCTAGACGGAACGAGATACGCCGAGCAGCATGGTCGGCTCCAGTGTGCATGCATCGCAAATGCTGGGGGACGGATCTTCAGGACTCGAATAATTTCATATCGAGTCCCCGTGTCGATATTTAGCCTTCCGAAAATGGGAACATCAAAATAAGTATATTGTTACAGGACACTTGTACTTGTACTTCTGAAATTGCATTATTCATTAATCGATAGTCAATATTCATGCGTAGGGACTCATGTAGGTACTTGGGAGTAAAGAAGGTAGGGAGGGCTAAACTACGACAACTCAGCCGGCCTTCAGGAGGCAGTAGCAGGGCCACGCCCTTAGACGCTAAAGGTTGTTGGTTTAAATATATTATTGTGTTGGAGGTCTTCTCCAGTGCATTAATTGGGATGTGTTCGGTCGACAGAAGACCGTCCCCAGGGCAGAGTAGAGAAAGGATTGTCCAGTATGGTAAACATAGTGTATTTACTTGAAATCGAGTATGATAGATTCAACAAAAGATCCTCACACCATCGAAACCCCTTATGGTAGTTAGGCAGGCTCCCCAGCGTCATTATTACCTAGGTAGCCCTTCTTCTGATGACTACGTGGTGGAACCCGTATTTCTGCCCTTGGATAGAACTTAACTAAATTTGTAGCCTCGTCATCATTAGTCGAGGGTTGTCTTATGGAAACTTTCCTGGCGGCAGCCTTGACTTTTTGATAAAGGCGATGGCGAAGCGACTTCGAAAAGAAAGAGAGCGAAAAGCCACCCTCGGCACATAGACAAACCTGCTACGATATTAGTTCATGTTATATTCGCACATGACTGTATATGAATACACGAAAACGTACCATGATGAAAACCTCACGAATATGCAGCTCAAGCCCCTTCTGATCCTGGACTAAACAAGCCATGAGTGTTGCTCCCCCAGCTATCTCGCACGACACGACCACTAATTTTGTTCTCAAAAACAGTTTCATTAAAACAACCATATTGGGGCGGACTCCTCCTGCCATGTTATGTTGCTGAAGTATGTTATAGACCGCAATTGCAGATGCGATAGATATAAGTGAAAGGACAAGAAGGACAGGACCATATAGGTACCATTCAAAATTATGCCTACAATCAATCAGCAAGACTGTCAGGATACAGGCTATGAGGTTTTCTAACGTACCATTTAACGTATATTAAAACCTCCAATGCTGTCACGGCAAAGATTGCTCCGTACGTCACCCACGTTATCCACAGGATGTTCCGTAATACGTAGAAAAGACGCACAAGCTTCATAGACCACGAGTTAGTAGTCCCAAAGACAAAAAGAAGCATAAGGGTGACTACCTACATTTGTACCAGTAAAGAGCTGGAGAACGCAAAGGTTGGCTAAGTTGAGCCATTCGTACGGCGGCTTTCTAGGCTAACTTGCTTTACTATTAAGTATACCACCCGCAATGAACAGACCAATTTGGAGAATATCGAAGAAAATCGCGATAGCTGACTGCCATTGATCGTCTGACCGCAAATGGCCATCCTTAAACTTCAAACAGCATAATAAGAGATCAGATACGAAGATCACGGCCCCTAGTGTTGTGATAATGGAGAAGCAAACTTTCCCTCCCCTGGGTTTACACTGCAACTGCGAAATTAATCTGATGTCTACTTAAAGGATGCAAGCTTCGACGTATAAATGTCTCCGCTACGCCCAAATCTGATAAAGTCATTCTGTGGTCAACACCCATGCCACCGCGCGAAATCCAGCCCCTTCATTTCCATAGCCTTGTCCCACAGAGGCGCGAGAATCTAGAGCGCAACATATTCCAAATCAGCGTGTTCGATAAGTCAGTTAATAGCCTGACCTGACTCGGGCCTGACCTGACCTAGCCTGGGTAGATAGCTTTTTCGGGATATCTATACAGTTCAGGTATAAAAAAAATTTATTTGCCTAATAGGCAGATAAGTTAAGGCTGTTTAGGCCTACTTTTACATATATTTATAAGATATGATTGGTTGATTTAAAGCAAACTACTTGACAATATTTGTTTATATGATCGGCAACGTTTTATATTAAAGTAAATACAAGGTTATTTCTGGCACCTTATTACAATTAACGTAATAATAAGCTATTAAAAAAAAAAAAAAAAGGTACGTACCCCGATACGTATAAGGTAATGAGGCTATCTTTAATCGTGTTTTTTAAAGTCACGATAACCTTTTGGTGTTTTAATAGGTAAAAAAGCGTTAAAAATGGGGTTGAGTGGGTATTATTTTAGATTACCTCAAATCTGACCAATTGGATAACGTAGATTTTGATTACCTAAATTTTTGCCTGTATCGATAAAATAGGTGCCTCAGGCCAAGCCCACAATACAGCCAGGTAAACCTCATTTTTAAATATATTTGACCTGACTCGGATAAGGTCAAGTCTTTACAATTATCTGACCTGACCTGGCTCATCGAACACGCTGTTCCAAATGGCTTCACTCGAGTGCAATAATGAGGCGATTACTGGGCTTTCCTTAGCTTGGGCAGGCTGTATGCTTTTCTTTCATGCCCATAGAGATAATGAGGATATCTCTTTCTACCGTCACATAGACCGTCGCCAAAGGAGTGTAGTTTGGACGTACTTACCTTTCGACGATGGTGAATTCATTGAGACTATATGGTGGGGCGCCGATATATTTGCTTCGTTTTGCAGCATAGTGGTAAGACAATCTGTCATGTTTACACTTCCATCTAACCTTCCACCAGGTCAGCACAAATAGGGGTCGAGTGATGACAATGGGACCTCATCTGAATCCTTGGCGGCCTCCGGCTGTTTGGTCACGAGTATTCGCAGCATCAGGGGGACCAGATCGAATATACTGGGATTATTCGCAATGGGGAAGTAGGAAATTGGCTACGACTTCACCCGCCGACCAAACACCTGGGCCATCCATCTCTCATATATCTCCACGTCCGTACACTTCCGGGCCAATTTTATACAGTTCTGCTTCCTTGCAGGATATTATCGGAATCATACCTTGCCAAAAGAGACATAAGGCTCATCTATCAATAACTGGTCTTCTCATCTGTTATCCTAATAATTGCCAGGCTTGTGTTGGAGAGGTTCGACTAGATAGTCTTTGCACGACTATAAAAGTCGCAGATTTTCCTGCGTTATATCTAGGGTTTACTTATGCAGAACATAAGTTCCCGTACCTAGCAAGGATCGAGCTACTCCCTCCGAAAGACATGGAGACCTATGAATGGCTCGAGTTAGGTTGGCAAGGAACGCTCGAGTGGTGGTATGAATCAAGGCAGTGTAAGATTTGGTACAACGATAAAGAGAGTCCAGCGACTCATATGTAACATGTTTTATAATTTTTTTGAGAAATTGCAAAGTTAACATCATTCCCAGCACGCGGTTCATTCCGCAATGGCCCTATACGACTAAACGAATTACCTAAATAGCCGGTGCTCTTTGGCTTGATCTATATATCATTGACCCGAGTAGGTATTCTTAATGCCTTCCTTGTAGCTGTCACATTGTTATGATTGATGTTGTATTGTATACTTTCTAGTGTGGGGTGCTATGATATAGGAGGTATTTATACTTCCACATGTCAATGTGACCATGACAGCAGCATGGTATGTAGATCTACGATAAGTGACACAGTACGAAGATGGTGTGAAAACAGTCTTGTAAATGCGTTTAAAGGAGGTCGTCTAGGTGTTGAGCCTCATGGCTGAGTCAGCCTTTTCAGTTACATATGAGATCCGGAGATCGGGCGGGTCCCTTGATGCCCGTTCTATGTACCCTATATACCCCTGTCCGTGCTTACGTCATGGCAGCAGCCGCCAGTGGCACCACCACCACATTAACCACCACGGAAGGTATCGTGACGGTGGGGCTCCGAGCTTTAATTCAAATAAACATTTCGCTCATCTGAACCTGAAGAGTGAAAAAAAAAACCTCAAAATCAGCTACCGAATTAATTAATTGAAAGAAAACCAGCACTCTTATTCTTTGTCTAGAGTGAGTTTTCACAATTTCTCCTCAGCCCTTATCTCACCCAAGGTTTCATGAGTCCATTGTTACCGCGGGCTGTCGCAAGTGCATCTACCCGAGTCCATCTCGCCAATCCACGTGCGGTATTTAGAGGCTATCCCGCTCCCATATCCAACGCCGTGTTCGCCTCTCTTAGCCAGAATACGCAACACCGAGGGAATTGCCATTTATCGCTCATCCGCCCAGCAGCGATCTTCTCACCAGTTACTTCGAAAACAAAACGAAATCAAAGAACAATAGCGTCGGCAGCAATGTCTACCAATCTCATCGAGTCCGCTAAGCGGGCCGCGTGCCGGCAGGCCGTAGCCAATCATTTCAGCCCGGACTTTACCTACGTCGGCATCGGTAGTGGTAGCACGGTGGCGTACGTGGTGGAAGCTATCGCGGAGCTGGGGCCGTCCGTAACCGGCAAGATGAAGTTCGTGCCGACGGGATCGGGCTCGACAGCGCTGATCCACAACGCGGGGCTCTCGGTGCTGCAGGTGCCGGACCTACTGCTAGAAGTAGACTTCAACCCCGGATCCGCAGACCACCAACCCATCGACATCTACTTCGACGGCGCAGACGAGGTCGACGCCGAGCTCAACTGCATCAAGGGCGGCGGTGCCTGTCACTTCCAGGAAAAGCTTGTTTCTCGCCTGTCCAAGTCTTTCATCTGCGTCGCCGACAGCCGCAAGAAGGTCGACCGTCTCCTGACTAACTGGACTTACGTCCCCGTTGAAGTATCCCCCATGGCCAGCGAGTACGTGCGTCGCGAGCTATTACGTCTGGGCAGCACCGATCCCAAGATTCGGACCTCGGGCCCCACCTCCATCCGCACAATCACGGATAACCACAACCACATCATCGACGCGCCGTTCCCGACGCTACTGCTGAATAGCGAGGCTGACAAGTTGGACCCTGCCAAGGGACTCTGGACGCCGGATGCTTTGCTGGCGCGGATTAAGAAGATCTTCGGTGTTCTCGAGGTGGGCATTTTCTCTGGGCTGAACGGTCCGCAGGTAGCGCAGCTGGGCACGGATATAGAAGGAGTGAAGCCTGTGAAGGTATACTTCGGCACGTCGGACGGCAATGTAGAGACGTTAGGTTAAATACGACGTTCAGGTTAGGAGACCGGATATTCCGGAGCTGCTACAAAATTTGGGCTACGTCCTGTTGTCGCTTATACGAAGATAAAAGCTAGTCAGGATGGCTTATAGACGTTTAAAACTGTCGAAAAAAAAATCTACTGTGGCACAAGTATATAAAGCATAGAGCTTGCTTCAGACCATTTTAACGGCGCTTGAATTGAAATATTGAAACCTGAAAAAGGTGATTACATATACTAAACGTCATACCGGTAATGGTTCTGCTAATCTTCTTCTCGTTACTTTGCTTCGTAGGATGATTCGTATTATACAACATCTCTTGTTGATTCATTCGCTATGCACGGAAATATCCTGCTTGTCCCTGTCTTTTCCCTTGCAAGGCCGACGCTTCTCCTCTGCTACGAGCACGTTACTAGCACGCGCACCCTTCTTGCTGAGAGGTTTGTGGGTTTGTCTTTACATCGATCACTGTAATTCGTCAGCCTAATAATTCCTCTCCGGGTTTATATACCATAAGTGTGACTTACTCTGTGATGAAGCCTGTGCCGCAGCATCCGTCCCCTCCATACCGGGAAGAGCCTGTGCTATCCTCCTGAACAGATTCTTTACGTTGTGACCGAGCTTCGCACTCGTCTCGACAAACATCAGGTTGTTCTTCTTGGCTTCCTCTTCACCTTGCGCCGTGGTGACTTCTCGCTTGTCATTCAAATCCGTCTTGTTCCCTACGAGCACGATGATCACATCGTTGCCTCGTTCCGCGCGTACGTCATCGATCCATTTCTTAGTATTTTGGAACGACTTCGCATCTGCCCATCCATATTAGTCTCCCTGCAGTCCAACTTGTGAATTAGGGAAGCTTCGGTGCATACTGGAAATATCGTAGACAACTACCGCAACGCTCGAATCTCGGATGTATGAGGGAATCAGACTCCTGAATCGCTCTTGACCTGCTGTATCCCATAATTGTAGTCGCACCGTTCGGTCCTCAAGGTACATTGTCTAACCCTTGCTCGTTAGCCGGCCTAGATTATGTCTTCCGCGGCTCTTATGCTTGAAGGTCCTAGCCTACCTTAGACAGAAAGTCGATACCGATCGTAGCTTGGTACATATTATCGAAGGAGTCGTACATGAACCGCGTTATCAAGGATGTTTTCCCGACTAAGCCGACAAGCTATTAGCTACTACCCAAAAGCGCAATCGATTATATAGAAGGCTATCGCTAGCTCGTGACGTTTTAGAGAGTAGACTGCGTACCGCTTTGTTCGCCGAGAAACACCAACCTAGTAAACGTCAGTGATGAGGCTTAGACTATATGGGCCGATGTGCAATAATACTTGAATTTCTTCAACGGGTTGTTGTAACCACCTGCTCCTCCAGTCTGTGCCATGTTCGCGTCGAATTTCTGTTTGTCGTTATGTTATTTGTTGGCGGTGGTGGTCAATAGTTGTCGGAAAAGAGTCGACCCAATTTATCAGTTGAGAGTCGTGGAGCTACAAGATGCTACGGACAAGAAAACCGTAAGTTAGAAGTCGGGTCGGTAGGAACTCAAGGATGCTCTCCTTTAAGACTGAAAAAGAGAGAAAGGTGAATTAATTATCTCTGCGGGATTATTTACTGTATATTGTTGCGCTGTAAAAAGCGGTCGGAAGGAAATCGATTTATTTATTGAAGAGTTGTTCTTTCCCACCTCGCATACAAAAGGAGGCGGTCCCTTTTTCCCATATACGAAAAATGCGCTTGGGCTCTGCAGCCTTAACAGATTGGTGGATTGGACTTAGGACTGGGGTCTGAATATGGGGCTGCGTTAATACATGTAGCTGTTGCTGGCAATCGATAGCATGCCCCATTGCTTAAAAGAGGAATGGCCGACACTCCGACCACAGTAAAGACTCGAGTTAATTGGTCTTGCTTTGACTTTACGTAATCACGATATGTGGAGCAGATCGACCTAACCTTACTATGTACGAAGTACGGATTAGAAACATGCCAATTCTCTTATCTTATCATATCAACCAAACATCAACTAAATCTCGACCCTGCATCTGTAAAAATTTCTAGTTTCAATAGCCCCACCAACGCTACCTACGGAGTCTAGGAATTCCGCTTCTGAAGCCCTCAGTAATACAATTCCTAGGTATTCATAATATTTTTCAGATTTACCAGTGCCTTAGATCGCAGACATGCCGGTCATACAACCATTGAAGGGGTCGACCGAGGCCCCTGCAACTTACAAGCAGCCCTCGAGGAAAGGCAAGAAGGCGTGGAGGAAGAATGTTGATGTTACGGAGGTTGAGAAAGGTCTTGAGGAGTTGAACGAGGAAATCATCAAAGGGTTCGCAAATTTTCTCTCGTTTAATTACTTCTCCAAACTGACCTCGTGATAACATAGTGGTGTCATTGCTGAGCGACCCTCCGAAGAGCTCTTCGTTCTCGATACAGTAGGCGATGCCTCGTTACCAAAGAAATTCCCAAAGCATACTTCAAAGCCTCTTAAGGCCGACGAGATTATTGCCGCACGCTCGGTTATTCCCGCTGTTTCATTGCGGAAGCGCCCAGGAGATAAGACTACAGACGGTATTATTCCATCCAAGAGACCGCGGAGAGAATATGTCACGCAGAAAGAGCTTTCTCGGTTGCGCAAAGTTGCAGATGGTTTTCACGAGTCCACGGTAGAAGTCGCGGATGCTTCCTTCGACCCATGGGCAGTAGAAGCCAAACCCGAAACACCAACAGATATACAAGACAACAGAAACGATAAGAAAAAGGCGCCTAAATCCCTCTCCAAGAAACCGATCTCGCTACTAGCGAGTGGAAAGACACCCAAGGCCGTACCGAAGCCTACTGGTGGATACAGCTACAACCCGGACTTTGCTGACTACGAAGCTCGCTATAAGGAAGAATCCAATAAAGCTGTCGAAGCGGAGCGCAAGCGCTTAGAAGCCGAAGAGGCGGCTCGTCTTAAAGCGGAAGCTGCCGCTAGGTCAGCCGCAGAGGCGGAGGCCGCAGAAGCCCGAGCGGAATTATCTGAGTGGGACGAGGACTCGGAATGGGAAGGATTCCAGAGCGGTGGCGAGGAGCTTAAGGTCAGCGCCAAACGACCGGGTCGCAAAAACCCAGCACAACGGAACAGAATTCAAAGGCGAAAGGAAGAAGAGCGCCGACTCAAGCACGAAGCTAAGACCAAGGTCCGGAAAGCGCAGCTAGAAGAAATCAAACGAATCGCAAAGGAGGTTGCCGAGCGTGAGCACGAACAAAACTTGGCACTTGCAAACCTTGAACAGAGCGACAGCAGCGCTGATGACAATGATGAGGAGCTCCGGCGCCGTCAACTTGGCCGGCTAAAGCTTCCAGAGAAAGATCTTGAATTGGTCCTACCAGATGAATTAGAAGATTCCCTGCGCCGCCTGAGACCCGAAGGCAACTTATTGAAGGACCGCTACCGGAGCTTACTCCTAAGAGGAAAGGTAGAGGCTCGAAGGAGAATACCGTTTAGGAAGCAGGCGAAGACTAAGCTCACAGAAAAGTGGGCTTATAAGGACTTTAGCATTTAGAGCCAGCTATGTATTTGTATACGATAGCTTATGAATACGAACAGTCCCTAGTGGTTTAATAAAGGACAAATACTGTCGGCGTTGCTCGGTGCTCTTCAACGGAGATGCGGTGTTTTCGGCCCTATATGAATGTGAATATGCATTAGGAACGGAACGAGTTAGGTGAGTTCGGTATTAGCCAATAATACTATAACGTTCCGATGCACGATTTTTCTCGGAATGAACCCCTATCTTGTAGAACATTCGACAGGACCTAGAATTTTATACATTACGACAGGTCTATTGAAGATAAAAAAGAAGAAGAAAAAGAATAATAGCAGTTCTTCACTTTGGCCTTTTTAGGTAAAAGTCGCATCATAAGTGGTAAGGAAGAGCCGGGATGAAGCTTTGGTAATGTTCGCTAATGCAATGCGGGTCCAGCCAAAGCTTGAAATTCCACGCTTATTTCCAGCATTGGTGACGGCGATCGGAGTTCCACTCCAGCGGATATGACGCACTACATACACAATTATTCTATGTAACACAAGCAGAGGGACAAGTCGAAGCAGGAAAGCGCCGAAAAAAGGCGAAAGGGCCATTCCTTCATCCAGGGAGGTCGAATTTATTCAATTAAGCTCAACCTTTTTTTTTTTTTAATAACCACGAGCGCTAATTTATTATTTATTAATTCTTCTAACTCGACATGTCGTTTCCTTTCATATAGTTTCTTCTTTTTCTATACCCCGAACTGGCGAGAAGAAGCTACGAAGATGCCATCACAGCTAGGAGTTGCCAGGGCTCTCGCTTTACGCGTTGGTCGCCAGAGCTCTCCTAGCTACAGACTCACATCGTCACCTCTACTAAGACAAATAAGACCTACTCATGTCTGCCAATTCAGTATTCTATCCCGACCGAATTCTCCGAAACGAAATGACCCCTCCAAAGCCGTTCAATGGCTGTTCCCGTCACGGCGCATTGTGCGTGGAATTTCAGGGAAACCCCTCCCACAAAGACGATCCGTGATCCTCAACTTCGCATATCGTACGGCTGCGATCCTTGGTACGGGAATTGGGTTTTTGGGAGCGTTACTTGCCGGCTTTTTCATATACGACTCGACAACCTACAAAGAGTCGTCAGTTACCTTCGGCGATTGTCGTGTGTCTGAGGCGGCCCTATCCCCGCGTCGAGGAGGACCTAAAAACCTCCCCGTCGTAGAAGCGCTTCTCGACGACGACGAAAATGAAGAAGCAAGAAAGAGAAAGACTAAACCTCACCTTGTGATTTTAGGGAGTGGCTGGGGAAGCGTTGCGTTGCTGAAGCAGCTTAATCCCGATGATTATCATGTTACGGTTATCAGCCCTAAAAACTACTTTTTATTTACTCCTATGTTACCATCCGCGACCGTCGGTACCCTGGAAATGCGCAGCTTAGTTGAGCCTATTCGCGGGATCCTTACTAGAATCGGAGGGCACTACCTCCGAGCCTCAGCCGAGGACGTTGAGTTTTCACACAAATTAGTCGAGGTTTCTCAGATAGACTCTAGGGGAGAGGAGGTCAGGTTCTACGTACCGTACGACAAGCTGGTCATCGCAGTCGGATCCGTAACAAACTCCCACGGGGTCAAGGGACTTGAGAACTGCTTTTTCCTTAAAGACATTAACGACGCCCGCATGATCCGGAACCAAGTAATGAAGAACTTAGAACTTGCTTGCCTTCCAACAACAGCCGACGATGAGCGCAGGAGATTATTATCATTCGTGGTTAGCGGCGGCGGACCTACAGGTGTCGAATTTGCTGCTGAGCTCTTCGATCTGTTGAACGAGGACTTGACTAGGAAATTTCCTCGACTCTTGCGCAATGAAATCTCGGTCCACTTAATACAGAGCCGAGGCCATATTCTTAATACTTACGATGAGGCACTATCTAAATATGCCGAAGATCGATTCGCTCGCGACCAGGTCGAGGTTCTCGTTAATTCCAGGGTCAAAGAGGTACAGAAGGATAAGATCATATTTACACAGAAGAATGATGACGGCGCAATTATTACTAAGGAACTTCCGATGGGATTCTGTCTGTGGTCGACTGGCGTCTCTCAATCCGAATTATGCCAGCGGATTGCGGCGAAATTAGGGCCCGTACAAAGCAACCTCCATGCTCTCGAAACAGATAGCCACCTGAGACTCAACGGCACTCCTCTAGGCGATGTTTACGCCATTGGTGACTGCTCGACCGTCCAGAATAATATTGCTAACAACGTCATCACCTTCCTACGCGGACACGCTTTCAAGCAGGGCAAAGACCCCGAGACCGTGGAGCTACACTTTAGTGACTGGCGCGACGTGGCATCTGATGTCAAGCGGCGGTTCCCGCAAGCAGCGTCGCACCTGAAGCGATTGGACAAGTTATTTTTTCAGTTCGACAAGGACCAATCAGGGACTCTAGACTTTGGGGAGCTGAGGGAACTATTAAAACAGATTGACAGCAAGCTAACGTCGTTGCCGGCGACGGCGCAGCGCGCCAACCAGCAGGGTATCTATTTGGCGAACAAGTTCAACAAGTTGGCGCACGCTGCGCCTGGCCTACGTGCCAATGATATCATCAATGGTGACCTTGACGAGACTTGCTACAAGGCCTTCGAATATCACCATCTCGGCAGCTTAGCCTACGTCGGTAACAGCGCCGTGTTCGACCTTGGAGGTGGCTGGGGCGTCACTGGTGGCTTGTGGGCCGTATACGCCTGGCGTAGTGTATATTTCGCACAGAGCGTTGGCATGAGGACGAGAATGCTGATGGCTATGGACTGGGCGAAGCGCGGCCTATTTGGACGAGGTAAGGAATTACTTTACCCACATCCCTCTGACTCATAATCAAGGGTTTATACTAACGTGACGATAGATCTCATGAGCTTCTAAGTGAACCGAAAAGAAAGAGGGGATATATGACCTTGGAGTTTAGATTGGGGTGATACGGTCTCAATAAAGAGCTGTGCCCTTTGAGAAATCTTTGTGAAGGATAATTTAGATTTAGATCTATTACCTTATTGGGCGTTGGATTGAAATGGTGTTACGGGCAGTTCGTGTCTTCATCACGAAGTGACGTAGCTTAGAAGTTAGACCCCAGAGGAACTAGAGTTGCTTAGTGTTAATAAAGATGAGATATACTAAGATTAATTAATCACCCCTGAGCAAAAACTTGACATTGAGCTCCTTTTTGACCCGAAATCCGTATATGTCGAAGGGCATGTAGGTAAAGGGGTGGTAAGATAGCTAGAATGAGATAATAGCTATGTAAACACAGGTGTCTTGGTCACCCTGGGTGGCGCGTACAAGGCGCGTCGCGTAGGTACGTCCGTCGGCGGCGCGCTCGGCGTGGTAGAAGACTCTATTCCTGGCTTTGACGGTGACCGGTTTGATGAATGAAGAGTGAGATGAGTACGTGTGGAAACTGGGAGGTACTGTTGCGCTGGCTGCGGATATCGCTTGGGCGAGGAGTAGGCCGCCGAATACAGCCCTTCCGGAAGGTTGGGAAGTAGTGGCCTGATTACCAGGTATTATTTTAAAGGCTTTTGGGGTGGCGTTGAATAGACTGGCATTAGCTTAGATATAAAGGGATATAGGATGGATTAATTACTGTTTACATTCTTTATATACCTAAAGTATGTTTAGTTATATTAAGCGAGATTTTTTGTTACTTAATTTTGTATATGTTAGATATATATAACCATATAACATTTTATGAATTATTATCTGGCGATATTATTCTTGACGAGGCGTGGATTAGATAATGAAAGAAAAGCAAAAAAATAAATACTAACTTAGGTACTCATACAGTTTCCGGAACTGTACAAGTACATCAAACCAGCTTACGTTACTTTGTCATCTATTTAAAGCTTTCTGTCGTTAAGTGAGGCTCTTATGTAGATTTTAACCAATCAAATTGAGAACCTAACTTTGATCTACCGTGTTTCGCTTGCACATAAGGACATACATAGGAGCTACATAGGAGGTACATAGGTATCTTGTAGAGTACATGTAACTCATTGGAGGCACATTATAGAAATAGTGAATTAAAATCACTCTCAACTCCATCATATCATATAACTAATTCAAGTTACTTGAAAGCTTATAATTTTCAACCAGGGCTAAATCGCATACCTAATCCAACGCCAATCAGGACTTCATCCTAATGACAGGTCCGATGCCGCCTTACGCGCTCTTCGTGCTCGTCGATGACATTGATGCTGATGTAAGTGAGACGCCTTATCTCTATAAGGTACCTAAGATCTTTTATTAACCTGCATGTAGTATCTCAACGATGCGCTCACCCGAGCTTATAAACGAAATTTTGAAGCTGCATGGGAACAGTACTGTTGAAATGAGTGGTCGAGGGACTACATCTTTTAGGTACAGTACATGGTATCTTGGCATGGAATGTATATATAAGAAGGACCTCCCTCCTCACTCATACAGTTGGTAGATGAAGTTAATATACAACCATAGCTCATATACCGTATCTTTCAGCAAGTACCTTGTCATAGGTGGTTATGAGAATGCACCTAAGAAGCTTGAAAACGCATATCCCGAGGGCACCAAGGCGCCAATACATGCTGATTTCCGGTCTCTGTTTATCGGAAATACGCCAGAGGAATGTGCATTATCGTTGCAAAATGCGCCCGAAGTTGTGGCACTCAATCGCGAGTACTTCTTGTTCGTTGATCAATTCTCGAAGGAAGAGGACACGATACAGATCTGTCGTGTCGAACAAAACATAGGAACTAAGAGGCTTCATGTAGAATATTTTCCAAAGCCAACAGGTGATTCTACCGTACGGATAGCAACATCGTCAGGGCTTAAGTTTGACGAGGCTTTACAGAGATATCAGCGCAACCGGATAAGGGATGGGAGGCCAGATCGGTCTAAAGGGGTGCCATACGGGCAGGCCTAATCTACAAATAGTTTTTAACAATACTTGGCTTGGAAATATTTTGTGTTATAGATAGTTAATAAAAGTTAAACTCAGTCCTACTCTTAAGGCTAAAAGCCAGCATGTTGCTGTACGAATAGTTACGAAGAGGTAAATATCTGTAATCTTTACAGTTTACAAGAGACAATTTTCTTATTTTTGACACAATTTAATGCTATACGTAAAATATTTATTAAAGTTACACCTAAAGCTAATTGAATATTTAAAGAAGAGTATCAATGCCGTGTTAATAGTAATATCGTGAAGTAGTATAGACCCACTCCGGTTAGAGTAGCAAAAGGAGTACCCACATGTGTCCGCAAACGATAAAAAGTAAGGGAAAAAATTCATTTTTTCTCGCTCTGCGAGAAAAACAATATCACGAATATAATATAACTACCTCTTTCACTTATATGAAATATGATAAGACTCAAAAATCTATATGCACATTGCGGAACAGGATTAAAAAAATAGAAAAAGTAATGCATCAGCCGCGAATCGAACGCGGGGCCCATCGATGGCAACGATGGATTTTACCACTAAACCACTGATGCTTGTTCCATGACTTTTGCTGAACCAGATCCCATTATAACCCATCATTTCTTCATTACGAACCATCACGAGTATATTCCGTTCAGTTTTCAATAGTAAATATAGATATCACACGACAACTAGGTAAATTCGATTTAGGAGGGGTCATTCATGTAGCTATCAAATTCAAGCACATGCATCCGGCCTCCTATAATGGACTACCATCTAAACCGAAGCTGGACATTATGAAGTATGAAGTATGTAATAGACATTACACAGGTGAAGTAATCATTTCATTTGTCACTAGAGAAATATTGTATTATATATAGGATCTATCTTCTCTCAGTAACTCGCAAGAAGGAGGACATTTGCGAAAATATTGTATATGTATAACTAATCCCTTTTCAACCATTATCTTAACCGGTTTAACAGTCCAAGGAAACTTGTCAACCGATATTTAAAATATCAGTTAGAACTAAGTACGATCGTAATTCTTTTAGGTTGTTCCAGCCAGCATGAGGCTGGATCACGTCGCCTACTATCCTGGGGCCTTTCTAATATTTCGATATCCCCTTATTACCCACCACAATTCAAATCAAAATATTTCCTGATAGGAACACTCACCATGGATGAGTGAGGAGGAAATAGTTTGAAAGTGTTCTTAGTTGAATCGTGTGAATAGATTGGTACTCCTAATATCTTTCGTCCCACAATTTTGAACTAGTAATGCCGAACAAATCTATGCTTTTGTATATAGATGATATCAGTAGTCACGCCAAACTCGCCGTATAGCCAAGCCAAGCTTTAGAATGACGAATGGCGAAAGGCAGAGCTTAGATGACGAAAGTTTAAGTACGAAATTATATATTCACATTAATCAGCAATCTATCAAAAAAATTCATAATCACTGTCAGACTAAGCTAAGATGATGTTACTTTGAATGATTATATCTCTGCCATATGGGTATAGTCATGTCAGATATTGGACCGCAATGACAGTACCCGCCAAGCTTTTAGTGCGGCTAGGATAGGAGATATTTACCTATGTTTTGTAATCAGATATCCACCAAATACCCTCCGGCTAATTTGGCCGGCGGTGATAGAACGAAGTAAGCCTCAATATCGTCCGCCCGACGATAAGCAGCAACCTAGGGATATAGATTTGTAATTTATGAATTAGAAATCAAGATCATGGCATCCAAACCTCATGATATAAAAGCCATGGGCCGACTGATATCTATGGAAAAGTTACTACATACCATCGCGGTTGACTAGTTCTGGGAATATTGCATAATACACCATGAATCCATTCCGAGCATTTCTGTTAAGCTTGACGATACCTGCAGCCATAGCGGCTCAGGTGCCATCCGTCCTGGCCCCTTTCAACTCGAGCCATTCTGTTGTTGTCGGAGAAAACACCTATCACTATCTGCGAGCTCGGCCCTCCGGCGAACCTAAGGGGAGTGTTCTTCTCCTGCATGGATTTCCGGATCTTCCATACGGATGGAAATATCAAGTGCCGCTATTTACCTCGCTCGGGTATCAGGTCATCGTTCCCGAGATGTTGGGGTACGGACAGACGTCTTCGCCGAGCGAGTTAGACGCGTTCTCCTTCGAGCACATGTCTGATGATCTAGCGGCGTTACTAGACCAAATCGTTCCTGATGAGCAGGTAATCCTCGGCGGCCACGACTGGGGTGCTGGCTGTAAGTGATAAGATATTTTCTCCTTTTTGTCCTATTTCGACTCCCGAATAAAAAATGCTGACTCGATTTGAAAGTGCTATGGCGGTTCGCCATACATTACCCTCAACTCTTCAAGGGGATCTTCGCCTTAACATATCCTTACTTTCCCCCGGTGACCGAATACGTCGACTTGGCCGACCAAATTAAGGATGGGAAGTTCCCGACCTTCAAATATCAGCTACAACTACGGGATCCCTCGCTTGACCGACATTTTCAGAGCGAAGAGGAGATCCGACAGTTTCTAATAGCGACACATGGGGGCCTAACCCCTGACGGCAAGTCTGGTTTCAGCCCTGAGGGTATTGCACTCGAAAATCTACCTTATCTGCAACCCGGCGCTCTCCTTAACGGTACAAATCTTGATTTCTATGTCTCGGAGTACCAGATCAAGGGTGTCAGGGGTCCTCTGAGCTGGTACCGCACAGCTAAAATCAATTTTGAGGATGAACTGCCAATCGCACAAGCCGGCGGCCATAGATTCACCATGCCAACCCTTTTCGTCCAGGCACTCAAAGATGCTGTGCTCGTTCCAGCCCTATCCGAAGGCATGGAAAAGTACTTCGACAAGTTGACGAGGGCAGAGGTAGACACTGATCATTGGGCCATGCTCGAAGACCCAACCGCGGTGAACAAGGTCATCCAATCCTGGATTGAGACGTTTGAGTAGGGGACAATTAGTCTGGTTATTTTAAAGAATGGAAGGAAGTAATTTGTACTCAAGCGAAAACCGAAGTTGTAGTTAGTAAATTGGTCTCAGGTTCAACTTCTGACCTTGGAATTTGTTCCAGTAATCTTCATGTCGTTCGTTATTAATTCATAAGAGGGACCTTTTCCCTCGATCATTCATGATGAATCTCTTGTTTAAAATCACGTTCCACCGTGATTCCAGTATGTCCAATCATGATCAATTCAGTTGAATTGCCTCTAGTCGCCGTGACTTTCGACGTAGCATAATTAGTAAGGGTGCTATTATCAAGCCGAGCCCAGTCGTGGTATGATGAAGACGGTAGCGCTCCAAGGTCATGGCTGCGATACCGCGAGCTCTTTATTGTTGAACGAATCTGCTGGACACCTCGGACTAAGGGCTTGTAGACCAGGGGCAAGTTCGCGCACAAGATACTACCGCAAGGTTCCCATGCAGACAGGATTCCTAAGGGAACCTCACTCCCTAATATGAACCAACATTAGTGAGATAGGAATACATGATGAGTGTGGAATCTTACATGTGACATCTTTAGATCTCACTGAGATAATAAACGACAGACGAGCAGCGCTAATAGCACACGTCCCCAACCCCATGGAGAACAGGAAGCAAAGGCCTATCTTCTTTTCCATACTAGCTTGTAAACCAAGAATGATGGGTATTGGCATGGTAAATATCCACATATCAAATATCAGGTTTATGATATTAGTGGAATATGTGAAAGCCAACTTATCCACGCAGGTTGCCGTTGCAGCAGCAGCAGTATTCCACCAACCTTGAACAGGTTGACATCCTAGTCCCAGTATGATTTCCATTACTATGAGCCATATGACAACGCAAATGGCGGTGGCAATAACTAAAATGCGAAATTTGGCGGCGGCGAAGATGCGGTAGTATAGAGCTAGCACCGACAGCTTTGTGCTGGCAATGGCAAAGTCGTAGAAATGGCTGAAAATATAGTCGCCCTATTGACTATTAGGCCGTCCATTAGTTTTAAAGCAAGAAGATTTCCAAGCTTACCAAGAGGAAAGTTTCTATGTCTTCTGTAGGGAGAGCTTCTATGTGGCGTCCAAGACCACCAGATGCTTCAATAACACGGATCAGAATTATATTCAAGCCAAAAGTTTGGGTCCTACAAACCACAAACCAACCCCACAATACACACCGCGACTGCGGTTATCTAAGAGAAGTGTAAGAATTATTCGTGAGCTATACATATGATCGATATACATACTGTAGCCCAGATTATGAAGTAATCGTCGAAAGCTAAGCGGCGCTGTGAGGACAGCCTTGTCTTAACCCATAGCCTGAAAACCGTGCTTAAAACCTCGATAGGGATAGGGATTGAGAAAAATGCATTGACCAATGCAACTCTAGACTCAGCAAGATACTCGGGGCTATAGTTAGCTGCGATCATAGCGATTATAGTTAGATAGTAGTTGATGCTGATCTAGATACATGAACATTAACGGGTCATGAGAAAAGGAAAGATAAGAAGGCACATAAGAAATTATAATAATATTTTTGGGTCGCATCACGTCGTTACATAGATCAAGCACACAAGTTGGACCCCGATCGGGCGTCATACCGTTCCTCGCGCATCGTATTTGGAGCTGACAAGGCTAGGCGCTTACTGGCGTTCCACGGAGATCGCTAGATCTTATGCAAGTCTCACCAATCTCGTGCAATACGAATCTCAAAGCCTACCGAGACAAGTAGGATAGGGATTATAAACGCCTATCTAGAGCTGACATCTACTAAGGCGGGGTGGCATTTCTGTTTGCCCTCCGTCACCGGGTAAGCACCAAACACGTGTATCCCTTACAGCGAGCAAATACTCCGTATCGGTCGACCGGGTTGATGTCTTACAGAAGATTCCACGCCACGTTTTACTTGCCTATCTAGGAGCTCAGATTTGCAGATTGCGGGAAAAGCACGCGCGCATTTCGGAGAGGAGACGGTAGGCTGGTAGGTACCGTGAAGAGCTGCATATATTCCTCGATATAGCCTTGCGATATTTAAATATTTACTCTAGCCTGCATAACGGAAATCTATTACCAATGCAAAATTGTAAGGGCAAAGAAAGATGAAGGGTCTTACCGATGAAGCTGAGAGCTAAAAAACGCCATTTATATGACTTACGTGGAATAAGTAGCATTTATCGACAACTCGTATATGCCGCAACGAAATTGCTTATCAACTGGAAATATCTTGGCTTATACCTAACTACCCAGATAATTGTCACTTTATATGTCGAGATACGATGTTTGCTATAAATACTCTAGGGGTGGAACACGAATGATTCAAACTACGTCAAGCAACATTTCTAACAAACCAGACAGAGGGGGAAAATTCAACATCCTTTTCGTACAACCTCAAGTCAAAAAAGAAAAGTCATTTGTTTAAAGAGTTCAGACTTTTTCTTGAATGAGTAATCAGCTAAGACAGGGCTAAAATCAGCCTCCCAAAACTCTCAATGCCCTAGATATTGTGATGATGTTGTTTAAAAGGGGTCACCGAGACTTTACCGGCGCCGGAAGCTGATTATAGTTGAGTCGATTTTCCAGGGCCCAGTGCCAGGTATCGAAGAATAGTCTTTACAAAAGTCCAAACAGCCTCGCATTATTTGGTATTTATTTCCCCCTCCCCCAAAAAGGGTTTCATTACAAATGCAAAGTGAGGAGTAGGTTGTATTTAAGTGGCGTCCGATACTTCGTTGCAATCAGTGACACCCTAGTTTAGATTTATGAAATTATAATAACTATAGTAAAACAACCAGTGACAATCGCCCCTATTGCGTACTATAAACTTTATACAAGGTCTCTGACCTTAATATAAATTGTAGTATATAGCCCAAGCTGTGCCCCCTATTTACCTAAGGTGCCTAATATATATTGAACTATATAAGAAAGATTAAATGACGCAACATTTCTACATTTACTTAAATACCTATCTCTTTGTCATTAATAAGTCATTATTGTATTCAAAAAATTTTACCATCAATTATATTTTAGGTTATTTCACGACGAAACGAGTCCTAAACCTTTGATGGGGCGGAATTGGCAGAGCGTATCTTACAATACCACTTCACCATTCCCTACTGGCTGGGAACGCCCAACACCGTGTCGAATGTCTTGTCGTAATCATAGGACTCATTACGAAATTCAACTACAATTGATATTAACTCTACGACAGCCACCGAGGCGTCACGTATCATGATTTGTTTTGTGCTTAAAAATAGTCGATATTTTCAATTATAAGATGTTGCCCACACCCCGGAAGCCCCTTACCAGACTTCTATTGCTTCAGGTGCTAACCCCGAATTCCCAACCTCAACGGGGGAGCATAGACAGCGGGAAAACTCGCTCCAGACCCCCGCGACAATCTCAAACATATCAAGTCCATTGACCGAGGCCTCCACCGCGGACACTAGGTATTACCTGATGAGGCGGTAAATACCTCCGGAAACTGTGCCCCTATTCGCTCTTATACTCCGACCCCAAAGACCGGCGCACCATCTTGGAGGTATTTCATCACAATAGTAGCAAGGAGGGTCGTATCAACAACTACAGTCATATTGCAGAGTTTTAATTAGCTATTAATAATTAAAATATCAACACCAGGCTCTCGCCCCCTAGCAACCCCTATTTATATCCCACAACCCTTGCGGTATGCATCACCCCTTTCACGGAACCGGGAACCGCACATCTCCTCCCAACTTCGAATAATTGACCGTCAGAAAATGCAAGTCAGAGCCTGCCTTCACTTCCAAAGCATCCGCCGCGTATCTATATCCTCCGGCCGGGGGAATGACGAAACTCGGACTGAAAGACTGCAACTTCCACATATTCCTGTAGTTCATCTTGTATCGCACGAGCAGCTCCTCCATGCATCTGAATTCGAGATATCGTCCGTTCTGCGACCTAAATAGCGAACCCTCTGCATCGTCCAGCACCAGAGTGTAGTAGTTCCTAAACGCGGCTATGTCTTTCGGGGACATCCCGTGTGTCTCGTGTGTGCTGAAGATGAGCAACCCGAGGTCGGCGCGCGCGGTGTCGATCTCGGCTTTTAGGTTTTGCCAGACTTCCTCCTTGTCTCGCAGCTCTACCATCTTGAGGTTGTCGTCGACAAACTACGGAATGGTTTAGGTAGTTAGTAACCTAGCGCTATATGCGATAATAGGGGTATAGAGGGATGGGGAATAAATTTTTTTTATAGATTTTCGGAGTTAAATGTTTATACGAATTCGCGCGAGCACGAATGGTGTCTTGCTTGGATGAGGCTGAGTTGTGACGTGTATGTAAGAGTGTAATTACTTACTGCGCCATGGGGATACGCGGCTCGGAAGATGCGATAGATTAATTCCCTCTTGATTGGCATTTTAGGGAATCGCCATCCCTCCAGATGATTTCTATGCCACCAGTTTTCTGCTCCGCCCTGATGCATTGCCGCTGGTTTTATAGTTGATTTGCTATGCTATGATAAGAATTATTGGTATTGCCAAGGCCCGGCGTAAGATGCAGAGTTGGGAAAAAATGAAAATCTCTAGTTCATCTAGGATTTTCTAGGGAGGGTGAGCATGGTTTAAATATTCCATCTTTTAAAACGCCTACGTATCTTTAAGGCTATGCGAATGTGAGGAAGATGGCGACTCGTCATGTTACTGAGTCTGTTAGCTGAACTGAAGCATGACCGTGTACCAACACGTGGTATTAGTCCTACAAGTAACATGATTTATCATATCCATCAGCTTCTCATTTGTTTTAGTGTGTTGCAAAGTAGCTTGATTCACCTATTTATTTGAACTATTATTAGCTTCTTATGAACCTTTTGTTCTGAATGTCCCTTACATTGTTGGACCTGAGAGGTTATATGAAAATGTACCCCAATACCAAAAGCGATACGCCAACCAATAGGAAAGCTTATGCCGTTTTTTTATTCGCACGAATAAACGCTTCTTTCTAACGTCTTCTCTTCTGTCTAAATGGAGGGCTCTGTATCAGAATTAAGGTAACTTTGAGATTTTTCCATGAGTACCTAAGTAACGTACCACAGAGTATCGCCACAAGGTAGGCTTATGACAATAAGCAATTATTAAATTAATAGCTCAGGATATCTACAAATTGTCATCAAGCCTAGAGCTGAAGGCCAGGCTATCTGAAGTATTTACTGTGATACTCTCTCGGAAACGACACGCCAGAAATCGCAGCGCCTACCACGGCCGGCCTCCCAGGTGTATGAATCGGTGAGGTTGAAGGTATTCACAATGCCAGGACCGTTTCGTATGTAATAACTCAGGTAAGGAGGTACCGTAACTTTAGACACATCTCCCCCGGTAGTGTTCAAATTCATCTGCACCCGATTCTCCAGAGTGAATTCTGGCCACTCGATATTTCCATCCACACCAATCGGAACCGTTGCATTTGAGTAACTGCCAGTTGCATCTATAACAGAAATGACGGGAGTGTCATGGATGATAAAGTTCCCCAAGATCTTCTGCATCGCATGTTTGAACTCCGGGTTGGGGAATGTGGTGCCGATGGAGAAGTAAGAATTCAGATCGGCACCATGGTAAGACGGCGTAACGTAGTACTGATACTTCCACGCATGCCGAGGGCCGGCAATGAATGCCTCGGCAATCCACTGCGCCGGGCAGGCAAACGTCGTTTCGGCAGCCATGTTGAAGACAGCCTGTTGTATACCTGTGGCTATGCCGGGCTTATATAACGCAGTTGGACCGGAGAAACCAAGCGTGTCGTACGGAATGCCATCGTCACTAGGTAAGGAATCAATACTATAAACAGTATTAAGGGATGCGACGTCTTCCGGAGTGAATAAAGGGAATGTGTTCGAGACGAAGCTGTCGTATTTCTCTCTGGTATCGACATCTGGGTTCGTCAGGGGTACGCCTTCATTGGCGTTATTCTGTATTATATCAGTATGATATCCGAGACCGACAAAAAGGGTGTGCATACACCAACAAGGAGCCTTTTTCCATTCACCTTCCCCTGCGAGAGCTGCACAGATGGCCATTCTTGTATGTAATCATCATCTATAACCGGTAGAAATGCGAAGCTGCCGAAGTAGCCCTGCGTCGTAGAAACAGTGCCGCTCGCGTTCTGCAACACAGAAGTATCGACATCGATCAAGCAATCAAATATGCAGGAGTAATTGCTAAACTTGGATGAAGTCTCACTGCAACCAGCTAATTCGACAAACTTATCATAGTGCGCCATTGGAACCGTCTCATTATACCGGTACACTGGTGGAAGGTATGGGCTTGCGGCGATGATCTGGGTGCGAATCAGTAATCCAGAAACTTCACTTCTATGGTGAGATGCACACTAACATTCTTAAAGAGATTCGACTCTTTACCACCATAGGCCAAAGCATGGTGTATGATCGAGCCAGCACCTGATGACTCTCCGCCAATACTAACGCGGTTCGGATCACCACCAAACTTAGAGATATGCCCCTGAACCCATTGCAGAGCGAAGCGCTGGTCTAGAAGGCCGGCGTTGAGTTGTCCACGTGCCTTGACTTCGGCGGAAGCGAGAAATCCGAACGCTCCCAATCGATACTGGATTTCGACGGCGATAAAGCCGTTGTTATTAGTGTTTATCCAGGCACTCGGGTCGTATGTCGCTCCGAAAACAGAGTCGCCACCTCCATCTAGGCTATATAGTCAGCGAGGTGGACTGCGCCTTGCCATGAGATGAGAGGATGACAGTGAGATGCATACGTATCCAGAGTAAGACAGGTAGATTCGAGGCGTTAGGAGTTGCGTATACATTGAGATAGAGGCAATCTTCATCGCCTAGACCAGAGTCGAAGCCGTAGGCTTCAGGTACACCAAAGGCCCCCGTCTGCGGGCATAGAGGTGGCTGGTTGACCGCCGGTGTCACTTGTGTATTGTTCCAGACGGGAGGCCGAGGCGCTTGCCACCGCAACTTTCCAATAGGAGCTGCAGCATAACGAATACTCATAAAATTCAGCCTAAAATTCAATGAAACTCCAGGTATAAGTCACTTACCTCTTCCAAATATAAAGGTCGTACGTGTCGTTGTAGTAGCCCTGGTAAGTCGCGTACCCGAGATCGACCGTTGGTGCCGCCGCTGAGTCGGAGCCGGCCGCAGTTCCGGCCGCTTGGATTGCTGCGGCAAGAATCCACGAGGAAATGCTACGCGTGAGTTTCATTATTGCCACAGCTGCATGAGAAGCTGCTAGGTATTAATAGACTTATTGGTGAGATGCGATAGCTCACTTACACCAGATATGAGAGATGACGCATCGGGACAGCGTAGGGTTCCTCTGCGCTGAATTTTAATTACCTACCCTGTATTCTTCATTGTTGCTGCGTCTGGTTTCTTTCTGCTTAGACTGCCGGACTGCTAACCTCATGTAGATAAAATCAAGGGTAAGAATCCCAAACCCATGGATCGGCTCCCCTTGTATGTGCATATTTATTTGTATATGGCTCGAGCGGTTGATAATCTGAGATCCATAATTGAACAATATCGTCCTCGGACTATCCCAAGGAGGCATGTAAGACGTTACAATATGAGTCGACAATATTGACCCTTTTTTCATGAATCATACCAACAATTTAGTTTAACAAATAATCCAAACATGGTATAAAAGACTCAGGAATAATACTATACTACACAGCCTAAGGCGCTTGGTTGAAATCATAGCTGTTTCCAAAGCCCCTATTCAGGTACGTCCTAAGCGCTTCCTCCCTACTTATCCAATCCACCGGGACCTCCAACCCCAAGCGACCCTCACTCTCCAGCTTTTCCAGCACAGGCTTGATGTCCTCGGAGAACTGCAGACGCATGGGATTCCTATACCACGGCGCGAAATGGATCATGGCAAGCATGACGCGGACATCGCGCGCCAGATTCGGCATGCCCGCATGCCAGAGTCGCAGGTCTCGTATCACGACGCTGCCTTTCTGAATGACGGGCTGGGATGGCGGACATACCTCTTTGCGCTCGGCTAGAAGGCTGTCCCGTATGCGACCGCTGGCTCTCTCGCCGTGCGCGCCCTCTTGCCCGTCTACGTTTGCGTCGTGCTTGTGGGTTCCGAGCCAGATCTCGGTCGAGCCGTTCTCCGGTGTCATGGTGACGAGGGGAACGTTGACGACTAGCGCGAATGGGTGGTCTGGGTGTTGGAAGTCTGCGTCGGAGTGCACTGGTTGACGTGCTGGGGTTCCTCCCGGCATGGCTGAGTTGGCCGAGCAGAAAGTCCACTTGGGACGGGGGCCGAGCACTGCGGTTGTGATCTGAGTTGCGATGGGATCTGGACGTTATTAGTTTTACGGATATATATGATGAACGGTACATCATGAGAGACACTTACTTGTGAAGATAGTAGGGTTAAAATACTCGGCTACGGGAGGGGCGTCTTGTTGTACATTCCCAGTATTATAATTGAAGGGACCATCTTCACCTCGGTCTTGTAGAACTCGCGCATCCTCCACCATCTTCTTGTTTAAGTGGTCTAGGGCTTCGTGAGAGATTACATCCTCAACAACAACAAGGCCATCTCTGTGCATAGCACCAACCGCCTTCTCCAAATTTCGAGCATCTAGAAACCCCTTCTGAGCTTCTAAGTGAGATGGCTTCACTACTATAGGTATATGTCGTAGGCGTCTAGGCTGAGCAAGAGATGCGAAAGCACGACGTCCGCCAAATGAGACGAGTCGGCTGCGGAGAAGCAGTGCCATTGTAACTTTAACAGGAACGTCTGTTCTGTAATTATCTGTATCTACTAATTCGTTATTTTATATTCGAGCAATCCTCTTAAGTAGAACTGTAGTCTCCAAATGCAGCGGACCAAAGTGAGGTCGGATATGTGTGGCGGAGATGCCATTTTGGGAAGTGCCGGTGCCCATCCCCACGAAGCTATCTGATAACTTACGACTAACCTCGGGAATATTAACAATTCTGTGGAATAGAATGAAATGACACCGGCTTTGCATCTATCTACTTGTCTCTATTGGACATTTTCGATAAAATAGGGGTCCTTGAGCACTATCCTATATACTGTCTGCATTCATGCTAAGAATTTGTAAGACGGGATATCATATAGTTAGATGATTACTTGCTACTATTATTGTTATCAGAAGAATACGCTCGCTTTCGCAACCACGGCCGAACATGCATCTAATACCAGGTGGGGAAGAGGATGTTGTCTCGTATAATCCTTCATAACCGACGACTGACAAATTCAAAGGTGGGATCCCCGCAGAATATCGTATAGGGGACATTCAGATTGGATGACTGATTATTGATGCATAATGAATTCGCCGATCTCTAATGCCACTCTAGAATATAAGACAGTATCCGAGAGAGATATGCAACCCCTTATATGCGACGAGTACAATATGAATGAGACTTATGATCTGACACTCACAGCGATTGAGGTGTCCTCGAGTTCCGTCGAGGTTCATGTATTAAGGCTTACGCGTACATGTCTCAGCAGCGGAAGTATCTCTTCTCAACCCACCTATCTTGAAAATCGGCGACCATGTTACCGATGACAACGGTGATTTCTGGGAACACCTTCGTCAGACGATAGACACCTACGTAGCCGGCCGAGTATGTTGCACAGACGATACGATCTTGCGGGACTCCGTGGTCTACGAGGACTTGGACAGCCATCAGCGCAGAACCTCCGCTAGACATCTGGGCATCTAAAAGTAACACGGTGTCATGCGTGTTAATGTCCTTCGGAAGTTTCAGGTAATGAAGTTCGGGTTCTCCAGTACGAACGTTGGACTGAATGAGGAGGCGTCCTGTACGGCCATCTGGAATCACTCTCCTCAACCCGGCCTCAAAGGCAGCGCCTCCACGAAGGACGATGACTGCGCTGACTTCGCCTTTAGGAGTCAGTCCATTATATAGCCTACCGGAGGGAGTTTCGACGGCCAATTCTTTGAAGTGAGCATTGTTCAGGGCCCTATGACTGTGAGTAAACAGCAACGGTAAAACGTAAGTAGTACACGTACTCTTCGATGAGTAGGCACGAAAACCTATCGAAATAAAATATAAAGTCCTCGCTCGATGTGTCAATATCCTGAACTATGGTATTCATGGCTTTGAGTTGAGGAGTTTCCTTAAGAACGATGACTCGGTCGGAAAGAGGCTCGCTTTCAAACCCGGCCTCTAGGCTTCTTAGAGCAGCTCGATGACGCGTTGACTTTTCCAGTAGTTTTCTTTCGATATACTGGGTGACCATAGCTACGCTGATGAGTGCATGCCTTTCGTGGGGAAAGGACTACGACTTACCCATCGCAACTCGATTCTCTATTCCACGTGGCACGATTATGTCTGGAATAGAGGAATCAGTCAGGATGACGGGCTAGATGGCGAATAATAAATAACACAGATATTCTACTATATGACCACTTACCAGCATGGTTCCTCTGTGGCAGGACATACTAAGGGGAATGTTAGATATGCTTCACGGCAAGATCTAGATGACTTACCTTTTCATAATTCGGTTTTACAAAGCTAAACCACTGCTTAATACAGCCTTCTACCGTACGACCTCGGTCTTTAACATCTCGTAGGACTATAATAATTAGACCATGTGTGTTCGATTCTAATCCTGCAGGATATACTTACTTCTCCTCGAGAGACACGTGTCTGCATCTGCCTCACAATAGACCTACTAGTAGGTTAGAGTCGTATCCCGGATTACATTTAGCCATAGGGGGTACGTACTCTCATGTCCATGAGGTCCATCACCCTCTGATCATATAAGGCAAAGATCCCCTCTAGAACAAGCACATGGGGAGAGTATATGGTAGTTGTCTCTTTTAGACGTTGATGCTTCTCAAAGGAGTATATTGGTATCTCGGTACGTTTACTGAATAGAGGCATATTAGTGCATATGTTTACAAAAGCACTACTGCAAAACTACAACATACTCACCCTGCTTTGAGGTCCTGGAGAGTCTGAACTAAGGCATCAAAATCTATCGCCTACAAAACTTGTATTAATACGATGGTAATAGGGCTCTGGGTACCAAGATCTAACCTCTGGAGAGTCGAAATCATATTCGTTGAGGAAGGCTTTCTTAGAAGCTTCGGGGCCCAACGGCTTATAGTAGGAGTCCTATGATTCGTGAGATAGGAAGTTACCTCCTTTCTCCGATTATGCTTACCATTGACAAGATGACAACCCATGGCAGATTCAGTGTATTGACAATGGCGTGCGATAAAGTCGACTTCCCAGACCCGGAACTGCCCGCAATGCCAATGATGCTCAAATCGGCCCATGGAGGACTGTAGTGGACTCTCTTAGCGATTGTGTCAGAGTTGTTGTCAGCCACGATGGCCGGCGACCCAATGCCGGTATTCATGACTATCTGCTCAAGCTAAATATCATATATAAAAAGACATGAAGTAGGTGAAGCTCTTATACAGCCTAAGAGAGTGATATGGAGTCTAAAAGCTCAAGAAGTGAAGCGACTGATGTCGCGTGCCCACTGGTGTCAGGTGTGCTCTGGGCAGATGACAGGGTTATAGATAAGTGAATAAGACGGGGTGAATACAAAAGTGCTTCGCCAGATGAATTAACAGGTAGCTGGGTATTTCGAAATGTATTAATAGAGCTTAGAAAAGCTCTCGGCGAGAAGAAGCGAACGAAATCGAAAATACATTTATAAAAACAATAAGAAAAAAAGGAGGATCTTCGTAAAACCAACCATGACTAGGAAGAAACTGTGTGGGTTGTGGACTGTTCGAATTTAGTAGGTCATTTTGGAGCTTGGGGCCGTGTTGATGACAAGACGAAAGCCACAAAACTGCCACAAGTCACTATGTATCTATGTACCTATGTAGACATGAAACGGCGGGACCTGCATTTGACCAGGGCTTTATATGTAAGCCACAGGTCGGGACCCGTCGGCCGATATTGCAGCCACAGTTCCAACCTTTCTCATTCTCTGCACGTGGATTTTCTGTCCCTACCCGCATTCTAAAATTCTTGACTTCTATTCTTAACTTTCCATTCTTCACTTCCAATGTACCACCAGATCAACAACAAGCCCAGCCTTTCGGCGGAAACTCCTGAATATCCTTCAGGGCGCCTTCTTTTAAACTCCGCATCGTAATTTTATTGTACTATTTCAATTTTCAATCCTGTGACTGGGCGGGCGCAATAGGGCATGTCATTGCCATCAAGCGACCTGCTATTTGAGAACCATCTTCGTCACGCAAGGTATATTTCAGAGATCTTAGATCGCAACATGGTACGTTAAATCGGTGCGAAGGTTAACAATCATAGCCATTATATACTAATTTTGCGCATATAGACTTCGTCGGCGTCGACGACAAAATCAATGAAGCATCCTTTTATGCGGCAGGTTGAGGAGCTCAAAACGCCCAAGAGGTATGGTAATCCGTTGTCTTTTTTTCCCCACTCACCTGGAGCTCTATTATGATGTAACAAATAACACAATGGGAATCTCTCTGAGAATATCATGCGGAGATCGTTTTCTTTTTTTCTGATATTTGCTCCTCACATACGCATTCTTTTTGATACCTACATAGAAGACTGCTTTGCTAACGCGGTTTCAAGTGATATTAATGCCTTAATACTCGATTACCTGACCGTTGCCGGCTATCCTAATGCTGCAGCAAAATTTTCAACTGAAGCGAATCTGTCACCTCAACAGCCCTCGTCCAGTATCTATGCAAGGCAACAGATCCAGACATTTATACATAAAGGGGAGATCGAAAGTGCTTTACATGCTTTGAATGATCTTGATCCTTCGGTAAGAACCATTCTTTGCTGTACTATCTCTTTACACTACTTTGCCGTGATTAAAACACGAGTTTACATGCACCACTCATATGGCCTCCGGGTCACTGATGAGGAACAACCACTTTTTCTATGAGCATCATACCACTCAATAAAATCTTGAATTCCGTTTTTCCCTTGCTGCATCAGCTAACCAGTGAGAAAAAAGATACTGGATGAAGATGAACCACTCCACTTCGCGCTTCTTCGGCTCCAGCTAGTGGAGTTAATCCGAAAATCCAGACCAGGCGGGGACATCGGCCCGGCCTTGGAATTTGCGCAAACTCAACTGGGACCCAAGGCTCCGCGCACGCCACAATTTTTGGAGGATCTAGAAAAGACGATGTCCCTTCTTGTGTTTGATCACGACAATCTAGATCCTACTTTGTCGGCGCTTTTGCGCCCAGGTCTTCGACGGGATGTTGCGGATAAGGTTAATAAAGCAATCCTAGAACGTCAGAAGCAACGGAGAGAAGCTGCCATTCGTCATTTGGTTCAGATGAGAGCCTGGAGTGAAGAAATAGTCCGCAAGGAGGGCAAGAAAGATCTTCCTTCCCGGATTGACTTAGGCTTAGATGGTGATGACTCTGATAGGTTCAGGGTAGAGAATGGCCACGAGTCGATGATTATGACGCAGTAAATTACTGACGTTATCCTTTTTGTGCTGTCGACTTTTCTCGATCAAGCAATTTCAATGAAAGCAGCTCCTAGATGGGGCGTGTGAAGGAAAGGCGTTTTATATCAGGCGTTCATGAAGCTTTCCGGGCGTTATGGAATTATGGAGCGGTATCCGGAGTTGGAAGCTCATCGGCTTTGAGCACACAGTACTTGTTAGGCGTTTAAGGTTCTAGGTTGATAATACTTGAGGGAGGTCTATACCTAGATACATAAAGGGCTTTTATGATCACTTCAATCGAGGCATGATCCACAACAGAGCATTTAGGGAAACAGGGAAGCATCATGGAAATTACGGCTGTCGTATGGCATTATGGCCAGGAATACTTGAGATACCATTTTTTAGAAATATATGTACAAAACCATGGTCACTTTCCCAGACTGATCTATTTTGCCGTCTATTTGGTTCGCACGTGCTTTAGCTTCTTGGGCGTATACAAGAAGTTATTGGCATAAGCCTTCGGCGCAAAAGCTCGAACATTGGGTTCTTGTACGAAATATTCGTAACCTTGCTTCTCGGCGAAAGCAATGGCGTCTTCCTTGCTCTTGAATTCGAGCTTGGTGCCCTGCATAAAATCACCGGATGATTCCCAGCCCATTAGAGGGTTCTCCCATCGGTGTCCCTTGGCTAGGATGTCCCAGTCCATTCTCCAGTTGTGGCTACCCCAGGTTCCTGACTGCGTGGCGGGTTTGGAGGGTTGGTAGATGCTATATGCGAAATTAGACAAGCTGCCTGTAGATAGAATAAGTAGTATTTCCTACCGAACGGTTCTGGCCTGTAATTCCACCGGTGCGCCAGAGAGCACAGCGGCGGGGAGGACGACATTGTCTTCGCTACCATCCATTACTCGCTTCGGCACGGGTGTGAATGTTCTATAGGTATCTCAATTAGCATCGGCTATGTTCCCGTACTCGTAGCGATATAATACGAATTGGCATTGGAGGACGTACGATGTAGCTCGGTCGATGTGCACACCATAGTCGGGAGCATTGCGCGGCTTCTCCTCAGGGATAACAGCTTGTTCGGTCGTCTCGGTAAGAGAAGTTCTCGAGTCGTCGGTCTTGAAGCGTCGCTGCGCCATGGCCAAAGCCTGCCTATTCGGAACCAATCTCGCGCTTCGAAGCATGGTGGCGGCTGCTGCTTGGGTTCTGAGAGATGCCATGTTGTTGTATTGTGTTATGTTTTTATTTTGTTTTTATTTTGCTTTTGTAGGAGAGTCCGGCAGCTGCGAAGGCGATGTAGGCGTGACTACCGGACAATGCCAGGAAGGGGCGGACAGCTGTACCTAAGTTTGCTTTTGACAGCTGGGACTGAATTCTTATATTGAAGCGATTTAAGAGTTGCGAGGTTGAGATAATCATGTTGCGGGGGATTTGATTGGTCGAGGGTCGGCACCGGGGCGGCAAGTTTACCGCGCTAGTGGGTGTATTTCGTACATAGGATGGGACGGCTGTGCACGGGCCACGTGAAATTGTAACCGGGCGAGGTCTTTTCGTCGTTTCGTCAATTGATGACTTTCGCTTTTTGAGCTTAAATCCTTTGTCGAATTACGCCAGTATCGCATCGCATCGCAGACTACCAATTGCGTCAATCGTTGACACAGTTGATTCCCCTCTGTGATCTTTTCGGTTTATTCTACCTTCTTTTCCCTCGTTGCGACTACAGCCGTCATCATGAGCTTCGTCACTCGCCGGGCCCTTTCGACCCTTATCCCTCCTAAGGTTTGTCCGGTTCTATGGTTGTTGAAGTGTCTCTACTGATTGAGTTACTTTAGGTTGCTTCGCCGAATGTACGTATTGATGCCCTCCATATGGTGCTATTCGATCTCCCGTTCTATTGCTATTCTAGACTTCAACATGGTGCAGTTAAGAGAGGAGGGGTTTAGTTTTGGCGTTGTTGTAATATATGGATGGTCTTGGAATTGGATATTGCAGAATTCAAAAGTTCAAGGATCGCTGACGGATACTTTCACTAGGCCATCGGTACTGCTCCTGATGCTCTTCGCATGAAGCGTGTCGTCAGCTTCTACGAGAAACTCCCCCGAGGACCCGCCCCCGAGATCCAGCCCACCGGTCTTCTCGGACGATACCAGGCCAAGCACTTTGGCAAGAACCCTACTGCCAAGCGTACGTTCCATAGCCGTTCCGCCATCGCTGCCCGGGTATATAGTTATATTCGTACTAACGGGTTCTCATAGCTATCATCCACGCCATTGGTCTCCTTCTCCTCATCGGGTACCCCATGACCTACTACTACCACCTACGTAAGTGTTCTTACGGCTGCTCATAAGATGTAGAGTATATACTAATTTATCATAGGTCACCACAAGAATAATGCCCATTAAGCAGGTTTGGTATTTGGGTACTAAGTAAACCGGAAGGGTAGAGTCAAGCAACTTGTACATAAGATAGATGGTACCGAGCATGACAGATAGCCATCGTGTACTAGAACAGAACTGAGCCTAGCCTCACTAAAGAATTCTACAGTTTCCTATTTTGCCCCTATGTGATTCTCCGTTCTACTGGTATGCGAAGCTATAAAGAGTTTGACGATAGACTATGTCTATATGTAGACTATGTCTATGCTTATACCTACCTACCTATGTAATCTCTAGTTTCAAATCATTATGCTTCCTCTTTTTGAACATTGCACTATTTCGTTTGTAAGCATGATCCATTAGGTATGACTCTATGTACATAGAGGTAAGTATCTCATATAGAATGCCGTGGATGTTTGAATCTCCTCGGCAACAGTCATATAACCTCATTAGAACTTTTATTTGTTCAAGTGACTACTCGATTTCCCTCCCGTCATCAACGTAATTCTAGCCGTTACTCTTCATTTTTCAACTCTACCTCATATTTATTTCCTTCCGGATACTTCAACCCTTAAACTACCAACTCCCCGGGCAGTTCTATATTCGCATATTCGCATACAAATAGGTACGTATTTCAACTATATTTTTCTATATCTCCCTTGCAGCTGTCAAATCGGCTTCTGTCGGGTGTCGGGGAAGTGTCAGGCATCCGCGAGTGTGCTACGAAGTACACTAGCCACATATGCCCACTTTCATCAGTTACACACCACACCTCACCGTCACCTGGCAGGCCTCGCTAAGAGGTAGGTACTGTTAGGTACTTTCCTGTTTCCGTTTTCCGTTTTCCCAGCCGCGTTCAAATGTTCTGGCAGTCTTCCAATTCCTCGTACCGTCTCCACTCTTTTCTTCGCAAGCCCCAAAAGCTCGGGATCTTGTAAACTTTGACAACACGACGCTGAAAGGTCGTTAGGACATCCTGAACCTTCAACCTGCAACAACCCACCTGTACTCCGAGGTATTGCGATATAATACGCTCTCACCCTCCCCGAATAGAGAGCAAGGCTTTGTAATAAACTTACCCATCGCGTCTCCTACGAACGCGACGTATTAAACATTGCCTCTCTTTTTTTCCCACATAGCCGGTACCGAAGTGAGTAACTGACTTGAACAAACTTGACCCCGATTTCTCAACCCGCCATTTGCCAAGTACGAAATCCTCGAACTGACCACCTCAAACTCGTCTGTCAGCCTCATTAATCCAACCCATCTCTTCGATCGAAAAGCGCAACGCAACTGTTACCCTTCGATCGCGACGCAAACAATTACGTTCCACGACATCTCGAGTTGGATGATGGCGACTGAGCCAACCCTCAATAAGCCGGATGCATCTCTAACTGAACCCACCCTCGTAAGTATACAGCCGTGTCGCCCTCCCTTCGTGATCCCATTCATACCCTTTTTCTCCCCTTTTCTCCCCTTTCTTAATCTTCCTATTACCCTCTCCTCCCTTACCTGCTAGTATTATGCGATTATTGAACTGCGCCGTTGTCGCAAATCACCTGCTCACGTGTATCCTACTACAGGCTCAGTCAGCTGTTGCAAGCAACGACACTCAGGATGCCAGCCATTCGAGTGCTACACTAAACGGTGTTTCCTCCGACGTCGAGAATAAGCAGATCGCAGAAATCGTCGACGAATTAGTGAACTCAGCTGAAGTTAGTGTGAGTGGCGGTTCAGATACGGAAACATCAAAGGCACGCCTCGGTGACAAGAACCATGCGCGTACATCTTCAAGTCTCAAGAAGCCCCAGAGCTTCAAGTCGGTTTCTGTAAATCGCACTTTTCTGGCCTCCAAATCTACTACGAATTCGACCTCCCGCCCCGATTCTTCTGCCAACTCCGCCTCTACTGCGCCGCTGCCGGCTCCTAGTGCCTCTGCTTCGCGCCTGAAGCTTGTTGCCAAATCCGGCAGCAGCTTAGGTGGTTCTACCAAGACTCTAAGTAGCAACGGCAAACCTGCCGCCGCCCCCGACCCAAATACTGTCTGGAATCGCAATAGACGTAAGTCATAGGAAGATATCTTAACTCGGTGATTTTTAACTCTTCCTGCTAACTTCCACAGCGGCCGCTCAACCTGAGCAAAAGAAGCTATCTGATGAGGAACTCATGCATAAATACGGCATCCACATGGCAGGCCGTTTAGGGCCGGAGGATACTAAGGGCCAGTCGAACTGGGCGGATATCGATGATGATGAAGAGTGGGAACCCGAAACCATTACGTGGACCGACGGGACCAAGATTACCTTACCACCACCCGATGAAATCGTACCAAGTCCCGGCACCGTGCACGCTACACTTAGCAAAGAACCAGCTCCCGCGCCGCCGAAGTCAAAATCGCCTGCGCCGACCCCGAGCGCAACCGAGTCTCCCTCGCTCAGGCCTGGTACTTTGGCCTCGAGTAAGAGCCTTGTGCTGAAAGGCGCTCCTGAGAAGCCTACTCTCGTTGCAAAACCACCTGCGCCACCAACACCTGCTAAATCGCCATGGGCACGCCTGCCCCCTATAGAGAAAGTTCCTCCCGGGCAACCAGATTTATCTAGCCTTGCATCGAGCTCGCGTCCTCCGGTACGGGATGCCGCCACTATGAGCGCGACTCCCCCACCGACCAAAGAGATTGCGGCAGACGACTTTAGTCGATCCGGCTTTCGAGAAGGTCATACAGGCAACCACAGCCAATTATTTAATTCACACTCTGGTCGGTACGAGCCGGTGACGGATCGTAGAGGATCCAGGAATGATGCTCATGGACGTCAGCCAGCTGTTCTCCAACGTCCCCAACACCACGACCAGCAAGGCCCTGCGGAACCATCGGCCGCTTTTCAGACAAGCAGAACTAGTGCCCATGAAGCTCCATTTGGTCGCCGTCGCGGTTCTTCTAATGTTAGTGGTACAAGTGGTATTATGGCACATAGACTTGGAAAACCGTACGATATTCCGCCGCCCCCCGAGGTAATTCAGTCTCAAGCTGGCTCCGTTGTTGGGGCCGAGAGCCCGATTTCCACAACTTTCTCTCCAGTGAACAACCAGATTACGCCGCGGCTCCAGCCTAGTCACCCATACCAGCCCCGTCCTTCTCCCGGTCAGACATATGCTACACCTCAATACAACCCACCTAGTGCGGACGCACCATCCAACGAAGACGAATTCGCTGTTCAAAGAAGAGTGATGCGTGAGCGTCGTGAGCAAGCCATCAAGCGTAGACTAGAACAAGAAGCTCGTGAAGAAGAGGCTCGTAAGGCCCGAATTGCTGAGAAGCTCAAGGCAATGGGACCTCCGCCTGAACGCAAGAGCGCCAAAAAGGAAGGAAAGAATGAATCTTCTACACAGCCCGTATATCCTGGACGGACAAGCATTCCCTCCACCTCAGACGAAAAGCCGGAAGCGCTTTCCAAAGCCACAGCTGATTCTACTGCCACAGTAAATAAGAACAAGTCCAATACTGATCGCCAGGTCAACGGTGATGCCAAACAACCCCCTACTCAGGCCGGAAAGCCTTCAATGGCAAAATCTCAGTCGGCAGCATCGTGGCCCGAAGCTCCGCAACATCCAGAACGTTTTACCTCGTGGGTTGGAAGTTCTCAAAACAGTTCTCGAAATGTCTGGGGTGCTCCCGGAAACGACCGTTCCCTCGGAAATGGCACGTTTAATCCTGACCTAGGAACCTTGCCTGATGCCCACCCGGCTCCGATCACCGAACGTATTCATCGCCCGGCACCGATCGGTCCACCCCGCTCTAGTTCACAGCAGCCCGTACGCCCCGAGACAATGTCTAGTAACCGGATACCTCCCATCGGCCCGCCCCGTGGCCGCCCTTCCAATATTCCTGAACAGGATCTTTCAAGTTCGTGGAATACTTTCACCACCAATGTTCAAGAAGATGATCGCAGACGAGCGGCGGAGATGCAAGACCTCATACATAGCCACGAGAAGAACCCAACTATTCCGATCAAAGACACCTGGCGTCCTAGGGGCAATATACAGGA